CAGACATGGGAAACAAAGGCAGTACACCACGTGATTCAACAGACATGGGAAACAAAGGCAGTATACCATGTGATTCAACTGGTATGATACAACACGGTTGTGCTTGGTGTTGTAAACCCTTGGCCCCGGTCTATTCTTCCCTGGTGCTTTACCATCCCAAGCTTATCGTCGGAGTCTTTTAGTGTTTTTTTTTTCTTTCTTTTTCTTGTTATGTCAAGATACTAAGTTGAAATTTCAAGATACATCCTTAGTTGAAATTTCAAGATAATGATCTTAATATTTCAAGATAATAAGTTGCAATATTTAGATTATAACTAGAAAATTGAACTTATTATCTTGAAATTGAACTTATTATCTTGAAATTGAACTTATTATCTTGAAATTGAACTTATTATCTTGAAATTGAACTTATTATCTTGAAATTGAACTTATTATCTTGAACTTGCAAGAAATATTTTCAATTTTCATGATTTATACAAAGTTGAAATTTCAAAATACTGATCTTTAAATTTTAACATAATAAGAGTTTAACTTGAAATATTAACGCGTGTATGTTGAAATTTCAAATTACTATCTTGAAATTTCAAAAAGAAAACTTGTGTCCCTAAAAGTCTTCCGTCGTATTTATCATGCCTTTATGCGAATTAATTACCCTTTACCATTTAAGTGTTATAGTGAGCCACGTATCTCCTTTATACAACCATCGAGTTCCCGGCAGAACAGCTGTGCTCTGATCGCCTAACTTCACTGGCAACAAACACATGATTTACGGTGGCTGTCAATGACCAGTTGACCAGTTGACCATTGACAAACGAGGGAAGCTAACGTACAAAAGTAAGTCATTAAATAACAAACCAGATTAACTACATTTATAATTAAATACTAAGTCCTGCCAAGTGTGTATTTCCATTTAACATACATCAAGGCTTGCTTCAGTAGGTATATACATGAATAATAAATGAATTATTTAATGTCCCCATCAACGACCAATATGCTGAATTCTGATTATACAACACCATATGTTCGTCATTCAACTATTCAACCTGCTGAAAGCTCGACATCCTTTAACATTGCGGCCTGAAGTGCACAGGTACGTGCATGTTGTTGTGTTATATATTCATACCGCCCTGTCTGTTAATGACTTGTGTCTATCGTGTTACCTTTTAGTCAGTGTTTTATGTGTACCAGTCACATCTGTGAACGACATTCCATGCAGTTACATACAATAGTACTTGATCTTTGGTGTTCGCAGCTGGATGTGTAGTTTGTTAGTTATGTCTCCCTGGTGTTCGCAGCTGGATGGGTGGTTTGTTAGTTATGTCTCCCTGGTGTTCGCAGCTGGATGGGTGGTTTGTTAGTTGTGTCTCCCTGGTGTTCGCAGCTGGATGTGTAGTTTGTTAGTTATGTCTCCCTGGTGTTTGCAGCTGGATGTGTAGTTTGTTAGTTATGTCTCCCTGGTGTTCGCAGCTGGATGGGCAGTTTGTTAGTTATGTCTCCCTGGTGTTCGCAGCTGGATGGGTAGTTTGTTAGTTATGTCTCCCTGGTGTTCGCAGCTGGATGGGTGGTTTGTTGGTTGTGTCTCCCTGGTGTTCGCAGCTGGATGGGTGGTCTGTTAGTTGTGTCTCCCTGGTGCTCGCAGCTGGATGGGTGGTTTGTTAGTTGTGTCTCCCTGGTGTTCGCAGCTGGATGGGTGGTTTGTTAGTTGTGTCTCCCTGGTGTTCGCAGCTGGATGGGCAGTTTGTTAGTTATGTCTCCCTGGTGTTCGCAGCTGGATGGGCAGTTTGTTAGTTATGTCTCCCTGGTGTTCGCAGCTGGATGGGTAGTTTGTTAGTTATGTCTCCCTGGTGTTCGCAGCTGGATGGGTGGTTTGTTAGTTATGTCTTCCTGGTGTTCGCAGCTGGATGGGTGGTTTGTTAGTTATGTCTTCCTGGAGGAATGCTGGATTTGTGAAATATATTTGTAGTCCACTATCTGCTTCACATATTGCAGTTATTTCGAGATACTGATTACCATGGTGAAGAGGTTGACACAAACTGATGTTTCAAACATGCATGTGTAGATCACATCAAATCAAGGACACGTGTGACGAAATACTCCCCGACAAACATGTTTATGAAGGGGATTCTCTGTCAGATGAATGTTTGTGTGTCATTAGCTTATTCCGTTCCTGCATCCCGTATTACCTACAGACGTAGTTGAATTGTTTGTTTGTGTGTTGTTTAACGCCGCACCAAGCAATAGTCCAGCTGTATGAGAGCGGGCTGTAAGTCATCGAGTATGGACCAGACAATCTAGTGATTGACATCATGAACATCGATCCACCAAATTGGGATAAAATGACATGCATCAACAAAGGGGCGAGTCTGACCACCCGATCCCGTTAGTCGTCTCTCACGACAAGAAGTCGCCTTAGTTAAATAGTCGTGACATGCCCAGATGTCGCATCTCGAGGATATGGTAACAGACTTCGATATGCACGTAGAGGTCTCGACATTCTTCATGTTTGTCACGTAGACAAAACCCCTCATTGCCATTTGCCAATTCGTACAACACAAAACAAAGTTATGTCCTTACTCCGACAAGCAAGCAAAACAACAAATCACCTGACACACCGTCCACACCCAAACCCCTCAGTGACACACCCACCCACCCCGCTCCACCCACCCCCTTCACGGACACGCTCACTCCATATACACCCCGCACCCTACCCCTCACGGACACACGTCCAACTGCCCCACCCCTCACTGACCCACCAATCACACACCACCCCTCACTGATAAACACGCAACTGCCCACCCCTGACTGATACACGCGCAACCGCCTCACCCCTCACTGATACACACACAACTGCCCCACCCCTCACGGATACACCCATCACACTCCACCCCTCACTGACATGGGATGCAAGCCTTCTGGGATGTGACGTCCACTGGCAGGCGACTCAAATGGCAAGTTACAATCACATGTAGGACCGAGGATTATTTGCACAACGAACATGTCCTGACGCGCCGACAGTCAGGTCACATGGAACGAGAAACTGTCAGCATACACAACATCCCCACCTTGGTACAGAATATAGCACTGCTCAACCAGTTCGCCATTCAGCATAACCATAGACAAGGCCGTGCTCCACTGACACGTCTGTGTGAACCTCAAGCTTCAGGGAGGTGGACCACGCCAGTTATGAGGTTGGTGGCGGTGACGTTACATCAAACTATCATCTACCCTTGTAATGACTTGCCAGGACTAACTGGTACAAAGACAGTCAGCACCTGTCTGTCCAGGGTGTGTCACGTGCCACTGGGACGCTATTCTGTAGATAATACATACTGAGGGAATACTGAGCGTTTTCAGTCACACACGAACTATCCGTGTTCTTTCAACTAGAAAGACAAATTAATGAAACGTGTTTTCATTCATACACACTATTAAAGCATTCTCTCGACTGGTAAAAAAAACCAAATTAAATGTGATTATAATACTCACTATAACCAGGGCGACAATGGTTGATATTATGATATTGCATTTTTCACAAAAAAACATCAAGGAACCATTGAGTCTCCGGGAAATGTTCTTCTTGCAGACATCCGAGTGTTGCCCCAGAATCAATATCAAACATTCAATACTGAAGTATTAGACATTAGTGATATTTTATCAGCCATAATACGTGGTGTGAACACGGAACATCTGCGGCATTCTGCCATGGCATAGCTAACATCGACTATAATACTTCCCTTTCAACACCAGTACTACATTTATCCAATAGACCATCATAGGCATACACAACGAATTGGATGAGACTGTGTCATCATCTAGCTCTGATAAATTATGCTTCAAGGTAATCATTAGAGAATAAATAAATTACAAGTGATTCCTTGGTATTTGAATTGCTAGCCAATCAATATCTTTGCATTTAAATTTCCATAAATAGAAAAAAACATTTGGCCACGCCCACTTTGAAACTACTTCTCCTGATTGGCTGATAATAGAATGGGCGGGGCTTGTGTTGCATTATTGCGCTGAACGATTTCGTACTGTTGTCTACAGTTTCGTTTGTGTTATCCATTAAATAAGCAGTCTGTCAAGTAATAATAGTTGACTCAATTTATTTTAAGAATTGACTTTCATATTTTGTTTGCGTTTATGGAGTTTGCACACCAATTTTCACGTTTATACGTACATAAACGAAACTATATGATGAATGAACTACGAGGTTTTATGACTGAGTGAGTATGGTTTTACGCCGCTTTTAGCAATATTCCAGCAATATCACGGCGGGGAACACCAGAAATGGGCTTCACACATTGTACCAATGTCGGGAATCGAACCCGGGTCTTCAGCGTGACGAGCGAACGCTTTAACCACTATGCTACCCGACCGCCCCTATGGGTGATATATCCTTCGTGAACGCCTGCACGTTGCATGTCATGCGTTACACGTCATGCAGTCAGCCATCAGAAACCTTAGGAGTCAACTCGTAACAGGGGGCACGGGGGGCCCAGTCGTCTAAGGCGCCGCGATTCGCTGTACAGAGTTGCGTCCCTTGGGCATGCCAGAAACCTATGATTGTGGGTTCGAACTCCGGCTCGACCCGATAATGTTTCTAGGTTTGTCAGCACCATACCCGTGCTCGTGGGTTTCACCGAAGTGGTAAACGTCGGAGACCTGCATCACTTCGGGCTTTCCTCCCACATTAAGCTGACACGTCGTGATATAGCTGGAATAATGTTAAAAGCGGCGTTAACCCCAACTCACTCACTCCTACTCAACTCGTAACATTCCGTTGCAGCTGCAGTGCACACCATACTTCTTGTGTGAGGCCAAGTCGTGCATTGTCCTAAAACATATATAATCTCAAACATATAATCAAACTACCAAAACCGTCGGACTAGATTGTGGACAGAATGTTAGATGTCAGTTAAAATTGAAAATAACTTTAATCTTCGACGGCGCCCTTCGACTTAGGTTCAGACAGGTTGCAAGCCACGTGCTCCGTACGACATGTGAGGAATCTCCTTCCACGCCCCGTGTCTACTCCGACGAAACACGCTGAATCATTTGTTTTTTCAAGATCAGTGTCAGGAAATCACGATTGATTACATATATATATGCCTTCGTATATTGGCGACTGAATGTGACCCTATTTGGACGAGCTAACAGTCAAAATGCTTCAATGGGGTAAGTGAAATTCATGGACATATCAACAGAGTGAGTGAGAGAGAGTTTATTTTGTTCATCAGTGAGTTAGTGATAGGTACGTGCAAACAATATGTTAAATGAATTCAAATAGTCTTGGGTTGTATACTCCCCAGGGAGCTGAGAATGACAATATCGAGCGCACACTGATCTACTGTCAGGAGTTATTATGTCAGCGCTTTAAGCATACATCTTGTGTAAGGAGTTTAGCGCGATGTAAGTCCACACATCTTGTATTCCAGTGATGTCAATTGACGGTGTTGACGCGACAATCAGCACGAGCAGAGGAACATATCAGCGATCCTTGACAGAACCACGGTTCTGGCGATAGCATGGTGAGCCGCCATTGTGAACGGGCCAGGTGTGACGTAACTGTGTCATGGCGTTAATCTGACGCAGGTGTACATGCCTGAACTGGTGCAGCTCACCTGACTGCGTGTCTCGTTGTCAGTTGTCCCTCGTCGGCGGCGACTGCGTCTGTTACCACGCTTCAGGACCACTGTACGAGTAAAGCTGAACCTCCATATGATTTAAACCACCAAAGTTTTTGATGAAGTCCGAATTCGAATTTTTAATATGGCTGATACGGATGATCGTATTTGTGGTCATAGGTCTGTCATATATTTTGACAAATGTAATAATATTTGGTTAATATGTAGTTAGTAAAGGAACTCTACAAACGTGTTACCTTTTTTTATCAATTTGTTTCAAATCTTTACTTCACCATAACAGATGACGATGCCCTCAAACGTATGAGTGAGTGAGTATTGTTTTACGCCGCTTTTAGCAATATTCCAGCAATATCACGGCGGAGGACACCAGAAATTGGCTTCACACATTGTACCCATGTCAGGAATCGAACCCGGGTCTTCAGCGTGACAAGCGAACGCTCTAACTACTCAGCTACCCTACCGACCCTCTCAAACGTATAAATATCCTCTCCTGAACTAAAGAAGCTGGCGTTTTCTTCTCACAGTGAAATCATATTTAGTTCTTATTGTGATGTCATTGTGCGTTTCTTTGTTACAATATACATTTTTACTTAAAGCGTCAACATAAGAAATGTTATATTTGAGATACATTTGAGATAAATGTTTAGTTGAGTACAGATACTAGTACTTGTTTGGGTTGAGTCCCGTCTGGGAACCCAAAACACCAGAGTGAGGCACCTTATCGCCAGCACACAAAGTCAGCGATCTGACCCACTCAGCCACATAGGCTTCCACAAAATGAAAGTACGTGATCTAGACAACCAGTTGTCGGACGCATCGGTGACAACCGTTTTCATTGGTTGGTATGTTTATCTTTCCCGTGATCCTTAGCCGTTATACATATACTGTTTCTACTATCTCTAAATCCTGACGAAAATAACAGCATTACACGAATGTGTGGAACGATTTTTGATCTTGACATTGTGAATAATTAAAATAACAATTGAGAACCGGTAATTAGCGTATTATTAATAACGTCCTGTTTGGGCAATATACCACCAGATGCCCTCAACCCTGTTCCACACAACAAATGCCTGTGGGGTCGCCTTCAGTGTTGTTGTGTTGTTGTGTTGTTGTTGACACGGTAATCAATTGGATGGGCAGACAGAACACAGACATAACGTATTAAATAATCCGAAGCAGACGCAGGGAGACTGGGTGTCGCCCCGGTCGTCATAATCGTTGGAATTGAGCAGTGTTTCGAACACCGGGAACCTTTTTAACTCCAGTAAGGTAGCCTAGTGGTTAAAGCGTTCGTTCGTCACGCCGACGACCCGGGTTCGATTCCCGACATGGGTACAATGTGTGAGGCCCATTTCTGGTGCATTTGCATGTGTCTGTGACGATGGGGCAGGATACGCTCGCCTTTTGGCGAACACCTGGTGTCATCACTTGTTGCTAGTGATTCATAAACACATGTTTATGATGTTGTCGGAATCGTACAATGGACTATTCTTAGGATATAGGAAAAGGTTCAAAAGTATTGGGGACATCGCTGAATTAAGTCTTTGAAAGACATTTAGAAGGATACACATAAGGACGATAATTTATGGATGTCAACTTATTTATTATGAGGATCACGACGTTTCGGAGTATAGGCTTACTACTTTCTCAGTTGAAGAAGTCATCAGCTGATGAAGGAGTTAGCATATACTCCGACACGTTGTGATGGTTGAATCATTGAATCGTTGAATCGTTGATTTAGTCTTGCTGTCTTACCTTCAGGGTCACGGTGACCGGTAGCTGCGTGTTTGTCACAAGCCAGGAGAAACTCCTCCAATGATATAACATTTGTATCAACTGCAATGTCTGGCGAAGGAAACACTGGAGAAGATGAGAGGGAAGTTATGGCCGTAGTCCCCCAAGACGCGAAGGCCCCGGATGGAGGATGGGGATGGGTGTGTGTGGTGGGCCGGTTCTTCATCGTCGCACTGTCCGCGGGGCTCACCAGTGGCTTCGGAATCATGTATGTTGAAATAATTAACTACTTTGACACCACCCGAGCGGAGACAGCATGGATGAGTTCATTATTCGGCGGAATGAATTGTGTTGGAGGTAATCAAACATTTATTCCTTTGTTCTTTTGTTCTATTTATTCTTCTGTACGGATGCGTTCTATCAATTATCTCAAACCAAGGCGGAGTCACAAATGTGGCCTGTTGGCCGTGGCAGGATCCGACACGGTCGTGGGGTTGAAACCCCGATCAACGAGGATAATCTCACCAAGTGTCTTTTGATATCAAACATATCTACACGAGTCGATACAAGTTTAAAACTCCTCTGCATGACGAGTGTGCATCTCATATCCAAAGACACGAGGGTGAGATTCTGTTTATCATCCAACATCATTGTTCCAGCTTTTCAGTTTGTAGACAGTAATACGCAGTGTCTGAACTGTAAAAAAGTACTGCTAACAGCTTCAGGAGTAGAGCCATTAGTGATGTCATTTGATTATGACGTAACCAATGATGTCACAATGGTCTGCAAAGCATTGTGATGCAATTTCGTTGCAGCTATATCTACAATGTACATGTATACATCGCTTGATATCACCAAAGCGATATCTCCTGTGGGAGCCAGTTTTGGATGTAAATTGTCCTTACTTGTTGACACCATAACCCTGCTTATGACACACACAAAAGAGGCGACTAACGGGATCGGGTGGTCAGGCTCGCTGACTTGGATGGTCATCGTATCCCAATTGCGTGGGTCGATGCTCATTATGTCAATCACTGTATTGTCTGGTTATTAACAGACCGCCGTCATATAGCTGGAATATTCCTGAGTGCAGCGTTTAACAACAAACAAACAAACAAACACAAAGTGTTATAAACTTCTATCGCTTGGGTCACTGTGTCCCATATTAACATACCACTTCTTATATGACTGTAGTACTGTTTCCTGCCTCCCGTGAATATTCCGGGGTCTTCAGCAACCCATGCTTGCCGTAAAAGGCGACTAACGGGATCGGGTGGTCAGGCTCGTTGACTTGGTTCATGCATGTCATCGATTCAAATTGCGTGGATGTTCATGATATCAATCACTGGATCGTCTGGTCCAGACTCGATTATTTACAGACCGCCGTCATATAGCTGGAATATTGCTGAGTGCGGCGTTAAACAACAAACCAACCAACCAACCAACCTACACACCCAGTGAAACGAATCATGGATTCGACGGATGGCATATCATCGTGTACCTACCTGCGTCTATAATGCCACGTTTGATGTCAGATCATCTGATGGACGCTATCCGACAATTATTATTTCAGGCCTATTTGGGGGTGCTGCAATTGAGCGTTATGGCTGCCGTGCAACGACTGTGATTGGATCCATCCTCGCCTGTGCAGGGTTCGTCATCAGTTACTTCTCCCCGAACATCTACCTCCTGTGCTTCGCCTACGGTATTCTTGTTGGTATGTAACGGTTGTTTAGATTGGGGATATGAGTGCGTGTTGTCAGCAGTAATACGAGACCAACTATTTGCAAAGGGGAAAAGAGGTTGCTCAACCAAGCTCTTTTCCAGACTCCGTATCATGAATTTGAAGTGATAATATTAAAGGATACCAGAATATGAACTAGATATTCAGATACTTTCAGTGAATTTTCAGTTTAATGAAAGATGTAACAATTGTTATTTTGGGGATTACACTTTCGTAGTAAAGTACACATTTTAGTACTTTTGGGGGGGTTGAGTCCCATCCGAGATTCGAACCCACACCTTCATAGTCAGGCACCTAAACGCCAGCACACAATATCAGAGACCTAACCCACTCAGCCACTGTAGGTTGATATTTAATTGTCAATATAACATTTGTTACTTTTGACCACTTTCTGAAAGGTGTTGTGTATTCCTGAAGGAAAGAGACGAGACAGGAATCTCCTTCTACTGCCGTCACAGGTGTCTAATCTTTGGGTATCCGTCATTATCACAGGCCATCAGTTCCATATCTGCCCTTATCCAGGATGGACAAGACAAGAAGGTACAGTGCACACCGAGTAAAGTCTTTCTAACAACACTTCCAGGTTCAGGATTTGCGTTCATGTACGTGTCCTCATCAGTGGTCGTGCTGCAGTACTTCGACAAGAGGCGGGGCCTCGCCATGAGTATATCTTCCCTGGGGGACGGGGTGGGTATGCTGGTGTTACCTCCCCTGACCTACCTTCTGATAGAAACATACAGCTGGCGGGGAGCCTTCCTTGTCACGGCAGGAATCACTCTGAACGCAGCTGTATTTGGGCTTCTGTTCAAACCACCGCCATACCTCAGCAAGGCGTCCCAAAGTAAGTAACTTCTTCTTGAAGACTTGAAGGTTAACAACACGATTTCGAAAAAAACAACAACGAAATAGCAGTTTCGAAAAGCATCATATCTAGGTGTCCTGTCACTTTACAAAGATACAGCTTATGCCAGAGACATTTTGATATTCAGGTAAACCCCCTGTTTGGATGTTTCATATCACTGTATTGAGCAATGATGGAATTAATATGTTACACAATAAATGAAACAATTCAAACAATTTGAAGTCGTAAATTCAGCAATTTGAAACCTGACTTTAGGATCAATGGTTTGGTGCATGTATATGTCTAAATATATTACACAGAAGTCATTGCATTCTTTACATTCTGTTTGCAGAACGAAGCGCACGACGCAGCGTCCTTCACTCCTTCAAGCAACTCTTGCAGAACAAGCTGTTTTTCGTCTTTGCTTTTGGATCCTTCCTGCTTCACGTGGGCTACACCGTGCCCCTCATACACCTCATAGACCTGGTCATTCTCAAGGGTGTTGAGAAAAGTCGAAGCACTTTGTTGATGTCGGTGATGGGGACAGCAAGCTTAGTCTCGATCGTCATCTTCGGCTGGATCAGCGACCTGCCAAATGTCAGCAGGATCGGACTTCACTCGGCGAGCATCGCAGTGCTGGGGGCGAGTGTAATGGCCGTTCCCTCACTGGACACTGAAGTTGCATTCTTTGTTTTCGCTGGGATATTTGGAGTGTTTATGGGTATGTATTTAAATATTTCTGAAATGTGTGATAGGTTATTGAGATTATGTCAAGAAGGGCAGGGCAGCGACATCAGGTGTCATTGACAGAGGACGAATGAGGTCATGTTGACACATGTAGCGGAGCTACAAGTTCATACTCGGGAACTGTCCAACAATGCTAACTTTGTCTGATGCCCTTTGATGTTCACTCGGTGGCGTCTATTACTGCTTCAAGATCAAATAGATCCCCCCCCCCCCTCCCCTCCCCCGAGCATTGCACCTCCACTGCATTACGCCAGATCACAGATTCACCAGTGTGATCAATGACGTTGTGGTCCCCATACTGTCCACTGCATTACGCCAGATCACAGATTCACCAGTGTGATCAATGATGTTGTGGTCCCCATACTGTCCACTGCATTACGCCAGATCACAGATTCACCAGTGTGATCAATGATGTTGTGGTCCCCATACTGTCCACTGCATTACGCCAGATCACAGATTCACCAGTGTGATCAATGATGTTGTGGTCCCCATACTGTCCACTGCATTACGCCAGATCACAGATTCACCAGTGTGATCAATGACGTTGTGGTCCCCATACTGTCCACTGCATTACGCCAGATCACAGATTCACCAGTGTGATCAATGATGTTGTGGTCCCCATACTGTCCTCTGCATTACGCCAGATCACAGATTCACCAGTGTGATCAATGACGTTGTGGTCCCCATGCTGTCCACTGCATTACGCCAGATCACAGATTCACCAGTGTGATCAATGACGTTGTGGTCCCCATACTGTCCACTGCATTACGCCAGATCACAGATTCACCAGTGTGATCAATGACGTTGTGGTCCCCATACTGTCCACTGCATTACGCCAGATCACAGATTCACCAGTGTGATCAATGATGTTGTGGTCCCCATACTGTCCACTGCATTACGCCAGATCACAGATTCACCAGTGTGATCAATGACGTTGTGGTCCCCATACTGTCCACTGCATTACGCCAGATCACAGATTCACCAGTGTGATCAATGACGTTGTGGTCCCCATACTGTCCACTGCATTACGCCAGATCACAGATTCACCAGTGTGATCAATGACGTTGTGGTCCCCATACTGTCCACTGCATTACGCCAGATCACAGATTCACCAGTGTGATCAATGACGTTGTGGTCCCCATACTGTCCACTGCATTACGCCAGATCACAGATTCACCAGTGTGATCAATGACGTTGTGGTCCCCATACTGTCCACTGCATTACGCCAGATCACAGATTCACCAGTGTGATCAATGACGTTGTGGTCCCCATACTGTCCACTGCATTACGCCAGATCACAGATTCACCAGTGTGATCAATGACGTTGTGGTCCCCATACTGTCCACTGCATTACGCCAGATCACAGATTCACCAGTGTGATCAATGACGTTGTGGTCCCCATACTGTCCCCTGCATTACGCCAGATCACAGATTCACCAGTGTGATCAATGATGTTGTGGTCCCCATACTGTCCACTGCATTACGCCAGATCACAGATTCACCAGTGTGATCAATGATGTTGTGGTCCCCATACTGTCCACTGCATTACGCCAGATCACAGATTCACCAGTGTGATCAATGACGTTGTGGTCCCCATACTGTCCACTGCATTACGCCAGATCACAGATTCACCAGTGTGATCAATGACGTTGTGGTCCCCATACTGTCCACTGCATTACGCCAGATCACAGATTCACCAGTGTGATCAATGACGTTGTGGTCCCCATACTGTCCACTGCATTACGCCAGATCACAGATTCACCAGTGTGATCAATGATGTTGTGGTCCCCATACTGTCCACTGCATTACGCCAGATCACAGATTCACCAGTGTGATCAATGACGTTGTGGTCCCCATACTGTCCACTGCATTACGCCAGATCACAGATTCACCGGTGTGATCAATGATGTTGTGGTCCCCATACTGTCCACTGCATTATGCCAGATCACAGATTCACCAGTGTGATCAATGATGTTGTGGTCCCCATACTGTCCACTGCATTATGCCAGATCACAGATTCACCAGTGTGATCAATGATGTTGTGGTCCCCATACTGTCCACTGCATTATGCCAGATCACAGATTCACCAGTGTGATCAATGATGTTGTGGTCCCCATACTGTCCACTGCATTATGCCAGATCACAGATTCACCAGTGTGATCAATGACGTTGTGGTCCCCATACTGTCCCCTGCATTACGCCAGATCACAGATTCACCAGTGTGATCAATGATGTTGTGGTCCCCATACTGTCCACTGCATTATGCCAGATCACAGATTCACCAGTGTGATCAATGATGTTGTGGTCCCCATACTGTCCACTGCATTATGCCAGATCACAGATTCACCAGTGTGATCAATGATGTTGTGGTCCCCATACTGTCCACTGCATTATGCCAGATCACAGATTCACCAGTGTGATCAATGATGTTGTGGTCCCCATACTGTCCCCTGCATTATGCCAGATCACAGATTCACCAGTGTGATCAATGACGTTGTGGTCCCCATACTGTCCCCTGCATTACGCCAGATCACAGATTCACCAGTGTGATCAATGACGTTGTGGTCCCCATGCTGTCCACTGCATTACGCCAGATCACAGATTCACCAGTGTGATCAATGACGTTGTGGTCCCCATACTGTCCACTGCATTATGCCAGATCACAGATTCACCAGTGTGATCAATGATGTTGTGGTCCCCATACTGTCCACTGCATTACGCCAGATCACAGATTCACCAGTGTGATCAATGACGTTGTGGTCCCCATACTGTCCACTGCATTACGCCAGATCACAGATTCACCAGTGTGATCAATGACGTTGTGGTCCCCATACTGTCCCCTGCATTACGCCAGATCACAGATTCACCATTCTCTCATCAAAAGGGATGCATCACGCAGATTCTAACCTAACATAATCGTGTGTATATCTTGAATGGCCAACATGACATAATGGCCTCTTCGTGGGGTGTCCAACTTTTTTTGCATTAGATCATGGGTATAGGATCCAATCACAGGCTTATGATTGCTGTATGGGATCAGAAGAGGAGTCACAGATTTGTTGCTGCTTCAGCCATTGTGTTACCAATGATGCCAACATGGCGGGGTAATCAACAAAAGAAAACGATGTCAAATTGGCCAGTAAAAAGATCATTACATAATTCAACAATTTCGAATTAGAGTAGATGTTTGCAAAACATATTTTTAATAGTCTGAAGAAAAAATAACAAATTGTTTATGTTTTGATTGTCTGTTTATTTATTTTAATTTCGAAAATTTTGATATAATATTACTTGGCTAGTGTGGAAAATGAAAGGAGTAGTTGTTAACAAACGAATATTTCAACAAATCTGTTATATTTAACACCACGTGACTGGTGGCTAAGGTAAGCGACGTTTTACAGGATCGGTTTGGACAGAAATGAAGAAGTAACGCAGCATTGAGTTCTAAAAGTTATATTTATCAATATTTGTCAGAGACGACAGATTTTGACAGATACGGCATGAAGAGAAACCATGTCTATATCCCAAACGTTAATTTCAGAACATATAACCATAATCTACCGTTCGTTGGAATAATTAAAGAAGGGACTGTGCAAGTCCACTTAGTTGCAGGTGAATTTCATAATTTATTTTTTGACTCTGTCAAAACATGATCCATTGTGACCACCCTTAGGTGAATGAAGCCATCACCTCTAACTTATTGTTGTGAGGTTCATGTTTGAGTTTTATTTATTTTGTTTGTTTGTTTGTTTGTTGTTTAACGCCGCACTCAGCAATATTCCAGCTATATGACGGCGGTCTGTAAAATAATCGAATCTGGACCAGACAATCCAGTGATTTACATCATGTGCATCGATCCACGCAATTTGGATCGATGACATGCATCAACCAAGTCGGCGAGCCTGACCTGTCGCTTCTTACGACAATCAAGGGTTGCTGAAGACCAGATCACACCCGGATAGTTCTGGAGAGAATAAACTGGTCTGTTATATTGTTTCCTGATGAAGGAAAACCTGGATGTATTGACTACCCGTGTGTGATCCTGCAGGTGCGTGGTACATGGGCCAAGGGGTGTTGGTGTCTCAGATAGTCGGCGTTGAACTCACCAGTATCGCCTTTGGTGTACACTCCTTACATACGGGTTCCGGCATGTTCCTGTCGTCCATTCTCGCAGGTAAGTACGACTTCAACTCGTGTGTACACACATCCTCTCTACGCTGTTGAGGGAAAACAAATTTTTTTTTTGCAAGTAAATACAGGGTAAAAATCATGTTTTTTTCTATTCGTTCGTTCGTACTTTTATTCGTTCGTTCGTTCGTTCATTTATTCCTTCGTTCGTTCGTTCATTTATTCATTCATAAGGTTGAGAATAGCGATGTGGCACACGTTTTGTGTGTGTGTTGTCCTCTCAATTAATAAAAAAATGTCCGCCGAGCGATCACCCAACTGTAAAACGTATCAATATTTCCTCTATTACACGCTGAGTCTCTAATACAATTCAGGTCTCTAATACACGTCGGGTCAGTGGAAATACGGTAGTTTGATATCGGATGTTTTTGACGACATATGATGTTCTAGGCCGTAAATCTGAATGCGTCCGCGATAAGATTACAAGACTTCATGAAGGCATATCTTTTGCATACTAATGAAATGTTTTTGAAACTGTAAGGGGCATGTACGATGACGAACTGACTCGGAACAGGCAATTTCCTCATTGAAACAACCGTCGATGAACGTAAAATATAACATTATGAAAAAGTGTTTGAAGAAACTTTATTCAGGACAACATGTTGTTTGTAAGGCTATCTGTGATCGATATTCATAGCCATCTCCATCAACCACCACTGTAAGGATTTGGCAGTAGGTCCATCAGAAGACACTCCTCTCATCGAAAGGCCCCGAAAACAATGTCCCGACACCACTAAATTCACAGCACAGGCACAGAGCAACTTATCAAACTTGACGAAATTCATTTCAGAACACGCACAATTTCCAAGAAATGACTTGGTGAGTCCAACAGTGAAAAGCAGGTTGCGATGAAATTTAAACGTCTATCTTTGGACTTAGTGAAAAACTGTGTATTTTGAACATAGTCAAGACTATGGGTATTTTAGTGTTGGACTTTAGTAATATTTGTTACATATGTAACTACCTTTGACCACTTTTCGGAATGTTCCAAGATTGCGGACCTTTGTGCCCTGTTTTGTTACGCGTTGCAAGAGAGCACCGTTTTCAAAAGCGGTGTTGCCGTCATGGTAGAATGGAGATAACTCCTACTACAATTGATGTGGTCCCACTGCAGAGTAGATACCTCTTATTTTGATTTGGAAGTGAGTGCTTTACCTTCAAATTAAAATGTGGTATCTACTCTACAGTGGTACTACATGAAGTTTCAAAACGCAGTAGGTTTATGTCCTAAATAACTGATATAGATGTGTGTACTACATAATTTAATACATATAATATTTTTTTCCAGGTTGGCTATTTGATATCACAGGAAGCTACGTTCTGCCGTTCTACATATCAGGATGTCTTTATCTATGCGCGAGCCTTGTAACTCTCATTGTGCTTATTGCAAGACGCAGAGTAACAGACCATTCGCACAACCACCCTGCGACTAGAGACTCTCCTTCACAGATGTGAACTGTTAGACGCGGAAGTGTGACCAGGAACTCAAAGGGCGCATCACGACCACATGTCTTCCTACACTTTCCCCGAACACCAGGAGTCGTCCATTCATTTTGTCTTCATCTTTGTTTTGTCTGTTATGATCCTAATGGGACGAGACTGATTGTTCATTGGTCTTGACGTTTAGAATGTACTTGAGCTGGGTCGAGGTTTCTGCTGGTGGACTGATGTCACGAGTTTAATCATACGATCAGTAGCATCTATCTATCATGGAGAGTCAACTACAAAAAAAATTGTTTGGGTCGAGATATCAAAACTGTGTGACAAGCCGAATATATTTCTTAAGTGTGTCCCCTTGCTTGTAGACTGTGGAATCTGTCATTCATAACGTATCGTTTTAAGTTTCAACAAAATCAATAAATGCGCTATCGTGTCAACCTGGATTGTTCTCAAGACTCTCACTGGTTATCTGGTCCAGACTCTATCACTGGCTTGTCTTGTCAAGAGTCTCCATCATTGGATTGTCTTGTCTAGACTCTCTATCACTAGATTGTCTGGTCTAGACTCTCTATCGACCCGTGAAGATTCCGGGTCTTCACGGGTAGGTCAATAGGTCTTCATCAACCCATGATTGCCGTAAAAGGTGACTATGTTTGTCGTAAGATGCGACTAATGGGATCGGGTGGTCAGGCTCGCTGACTTGTTTGATGCATATCATCGTATCCCAATTGCGTGACATGCTTGCCCTAAAAGGTGACTATGCTTGTCGTTAAAGGCGACTCGACTAACAGGCTCACTGACTTGGTTGATGCATGTCATCGATCCCAATTGCGTGGATCGATGCTCATGATATCATCACTAAATTTGTCTGGTCCAGACGCGATTATTTACAGACCGCCGTCACATAGCTGGAATATTGCCGAGTGCGGCGTTAAACAACAAATATACAAACAATACCATGCAATTTTTAAACAGAATGTTTCTGCATCACTGGCAAAGTATGTTACATGGAAAGCGAGAGTAGTTAAAATTCACGTGACGTACACGTTTTTATGGTGATACGTGGTCACCCTTCATTACAATGCATATCATGTGCCATGCTACCTCAAGCTCATATTCCCTCCACAAATGCAACAGCTTGGAGTCTTGAAAATACTTGCAGTCAATGCACATAAATCCCTTTAAATGGTTCTCCTGCCAAAAGCGACACCTGTGTAAGATATTATGGGTCGTGTTTCTATTGTAGATCTCAGATTCCAGGATACTGAATCTGTGGCCTCGGAGTCTTTATAATTACATGTTTGAATGACGCGTACAGCCCAGTGACACATCGCGCATCTGTTTGTTTGGTGAACCTGAACAGGGAAGTGATCCTACATCGTGTGTTGACGGGAGGCTGACTGCAGGCGCTTGGATGGGAGTTTAGTTCTAGGCTACCTTCAACCTTGAAGAGGATTGTGGACGTACTGCGTTGGTGGGAGGACGCGGTCTGGGTATGTTAAAGGAAGGAACGGAAGGCTTATTAGTAGAGGCAGAGATTTATGATTATTTGGTAGAAGTTAACAATACTGTGATTATTACAGCCCTATAACTTTGTTGTGTGGTATGTGTGTATTGAGACTTCAAATGCCTTGTCCCTTTATACCTAATTTATTATTGACTCAAATTCCATCTCCTTGCCAACAGAATCAGCTATGTTTATTGTGCTGCATACCGGTGAAGGTGCGTAGAATATGCACTCAAGGTAGCCGTATATTATACCTCTTTATAAGACGATAGAGAAATATTTTCAACTAAGCGGAACATGTTATTCAGAACGTTGTGCATGGTTGGATCCACATATTCAGGGTGTATGTAACTCCATTGTGAAGAATACACAAACGAAGGCGGTAATGTGCACATGACACGAATGCCGATTATTGAGGGTTTGTCCATCCAGTTAGATTGTAAATAGAAAGCCAAGTCTGACGCAAAAGGACTAATGGTTTGCACACACACAGTCGTTGACAGTGATGTCCAATACAGTCATGTAATGATAACTCATGCAAGCTTCCTGGGCAGCTCTGACTGATAAATAGAGGGGAGAAACATGATATTTCACGAGAAACATGAAATATCCTATTTATTATTTACTTCTTGTGTAGTTGACTTCCGGAAAATTCATATTATTTTGCTTTATCTATGTGGAAATTACATAAAAAGGAAGTCGACAGTTTTTGTACGGGCCAGACATTACAATAAAGGGAGACAATGTACAGAGATTGTATGACAATAGTTCAGTCGAAGTGTTATGTTCACTGCAGTGAAATATGAAGTATTATGTTCACTCCAATGACAATATCCCTTTTCTAAACTTCAGAAATGAATGTAGGGGGTTACTGTTCTCATTACAAGATCCCAGCCCTCCCCTAACCCCACCTCTCCCTAACCCCACCTCTCCCCTCACCCCACCTCAATATCAAAACATCGGTCCTGCACCATCAGCTGAAACGTTTCTCACCCTGTGATGACATGCTCGGCCGTTAGTAAAGCGAATGAGCGAACTATGGTTATTATGACTGTGAATACATGTTTTCTCCCCCTATGAACATCCTGGGCTACAACTGTGGAAACACATGCAGGTGGCAGGAGGCGACTTACTGTATCCGATTGCGAGGCTCCTCTTACCCCGACCAATGACTGCTCTGGACAACAGGCCGCTGTCATAATTGGAATGTTGTTGGGCGCGGCATAAAACAACAGATATCAGTTGCAACGCCCATAGTGTCCAAGCTCCAGTGCAATCTGCCGTATAGCCAGCATATGAACGGGATATGTTACATATATTATTTATATATAATATATATATTTGTGATACATGAATATATTTTTAATAGTGAGTAAACGGGGAAGACGCACCAATGTGTCATGTCAATCTATAGCGTTGTATTGTACACCCTCAGTGTTCTCACCTGTATGTGTTTGATAGTGAAACTCATTGAACTGGGATCTTTTACTTCCATCCGATGCCTCTCAACATGAAGATCTGAGGACACCTCTATAGAACTCTGTACGTCCAGTCTATATGAAGGCGGGTTGGGGGCTTGCACCAGTCAATGCCAGCTTCATGAAACAATGCCAGCTTAATGAAACAATGCAGCTTCATTTGGAACTACCTCGATTAGTACTTTTCGATTTTAACAAAGGAAACCCCACACAGAACACACATTCCTTCGTTGAAACTGGTTGGGTGTAGTTTGTTTGTTTGTTTGTTGTTTAACGCTGCACACAGCAATATTCGTGCTTTATGACGACGGCCAGATGCAACTGGGATCAAACAAGTCAGCAAAACCTGACCACCCGAACCCGTTAGTCGCCTCTTACTACAAGCATAGTCGCCTCTTACGGCAAAATTGCTGAAGACTGAATCTTCTAGGGGCGGTTTGGGTGTGGATACATGGCGCTTTGAAATGACAGTTGTTCCATTATTGGAACGTGTTGCAGAACGTGGACTTGGCAGCTCCTGGGGAAAATTGCACTTCTTGTGGCTGTTAATACTCATACCATACTGCTACCATAATGAACTGATTCTTCCCCAGTCAGCTGTCACCCAATGCCTGGGTGCCCGACATGACCACCTTGCGGTTGCTCCTACTCAAAAGGCCTCAAATAGCATTTTGACACATTTTGATTCTTTTGTGAGACTGCAGAACGTCTAGCAAATCCTTTGAGGTTTTGAGAATCCACGTTGTATAATTCCACATGTCTCAACTACAATCTGTGAATATAACGAACGACCTTCTTTCATTGTATTAAGAATAATGGTTAATCTTTGGTACATGGATCTCTTTGGGTTTTGAATCCAATACAAAAGAGGAATGGACGTGTCTTCGGGCTTAAGATTTGACAGTACTGAAACAGTGAGTGAGTGAGTGAGTTGGGTTTAACGCCGCTTTTAACAGTATTCCTTTTATATTGCGGCGTGTCAGCTTAATGTGGAAGGAAAGCCCGAAGTGATGCAGGTCCAAGACGTTTACCACTTCGGTGAAACCCGTGAGCACGGGTATGGTGCTGACAAACCTAGAAACATAATCGCGGCGAAACGGGATTCGATCATAGGTTTCTGGCGTGCCCAAGGGACGCAAATCTTCACAGCGAATCGCGGCGCCTTAGACGACTGGGCCATTCGTGCCCCCGTACTGAAACAGATGTCTTCCCAAGTTAACACACCATCCTTACAAGTAGCAGTATTTGACATCAAGTTCTTTGATACTTACATATAATGGCTCTGCATTTGATATTACAACTTTGCACATCTCTGTCCCACACGACAGACTTCATGTCTTGATCCATGGGGAATTTGTCACTAAACTTGGTGACTGTGGGTATAATTACATCTCAATCGTCAAAGGTTCAGGACAATTTGTCAAAGACGGAAGTAAATGTCATCTGAAGTTTTCTAAGAAAACACTTCGTCATTGATAACATTGGAGTGGAATGTGGGGATAGGACATACAAATATACTCATGCAAAGTCTGGCGTGTATATGTGGTACTATTAAACTTGATAACATTTTTTTCAAATTTGGGCGTGCGCAGCGTTATTTCAATTGACTATTATCTTTCGGTATAATCTCAAAATGAAAACCAGTCCTCAACTAGCCAGGTCACTTAGTCTGGTGAGATGTGCAGCAGCTGTTAACAGATCATTTACTAAATGCATCGAACCCTGCGATCTGACTGTGCTTTAACTGAAAGTATAAATTACCTGCATAAAATAATTCGTTGTTCTGTTTTATCCTCTCGGGACCAACCGTTTGATGGAATAATTATGCTTCATTGAAAAACACAAAATTGTCTGTCACAAGAAACACTAGGCCCATATTGTTTTATACACACCCTCACCCACTCACCCACTCACCCACTCACCCACTCACTCTTTGATATTATGAGGAACTTCCAATGTCGTCGGTTTCGGCAACCAAACCGTTCACCTGTTCAGCGATCCATTTTAGCTGACTCTTACGATAAACGTTTGGCAAGAAAAGAAGATTTACCTTTTTATGCAGTTTGTTTAAGTGGTGAGTGCTAACGGCATTGCAGAACAGTTTTCGCGAAAACACCTGGTGGTATCACAGATTGTCAGTTACACATTCGCATAATTTCACCACTTTTTGGGGCTTTTCCACCCAGTTGTCGTCTCTCTCGGCAGCCTGTTGCTGGCTGTTCTCAGGCGTTGATGGGGCGGTGGAGTAGTCTAGTGGTTCAAGCATTCGCTCGTCACGCCGAAGACCTGGGTTCGGTTCATCGCAATATGTGAAGCCCACTGCTGGTGTCCCCCGCCGTGATGTTGCTGAATATTGTTAAAAGCGGCGCAAAACACTACTCACTCACTCCCTCAGGCGTTGACGTTTAATACTTACTAGGTAAACTTTATCTGGGAACAACCCCCTGCTCCGGTTTGAGTATGGTAACTTGTGGTGCGAACAGTGTTTATTTGTTATGTGACAAACAAGTGACCCCGCAAGAAACATTATGACGTCATGATATCAATACGGGCCGGTCATCCGAGTTGTATGGAATTGTACAGCACGTCGACAGGCCAATCAGATTGTTAAGATTCTATAACGAGTAATGGTTATCAACTTCGCGAATAGAAACCGGTCGCTATGATAATTATTCTGCTCAGCTCCGAACATTTTATAATAGTATTGATGCCATCATATCATTTGGATGACGATGTAAGAGATGGACTAGCCCATATTTAACATTTCACCGTGCTACAATAGAAACGACTTACATGAATAATGTTTTGGAAATAACTATGCACTTTCGGTGTGCTTTTATATCATGTCAGTATTATAATGTGCACGTCTCTCCTAATCCAGTTGTGTTTGACAGTCTCTCACATCAGGTATACTCTGTGCATATTGTCGCATCAATGAGTGAGATCAACATAGACTTCTCTGCTTGTCAGTTGAGAAATCTATTCACATGTTGGCTAACTTCGCTCAGGTGCACAAAACAGGTAGAACTTTCTATTATGCCCATCTCCTTACTGTAATATATACTCAACAACAAAAGTTCCTGTGACACCAATATTTTTTGTGTATTTTTCAAACAAGTAAAGTTTGTTTTTTAATATTGTAGTACATGTTTGGAATCAAGTCACAAAAACGCAACGGCTATAGAAAAGCATGCATTCCATGCAAAAATTGACTTTTATGCAAGCCCCGAGTTTCACTACCCAAGAATGGATATAAAAACTTGCGTTAACGGAATTCCATATGCATTGTTTAGCATCGTGCTGACAATAACCACTCAGAAAAACAACAAAATTACGCAATTATTCCCTATTATGAAATGCCACGCCTGTCCGAAAATGAGCCTCTGCGAGCCATTGGTATGCTTGAATCAGGATCGAGTCAACGTGATGTTGCAAGACAATGAAACGTCCACAGAAACACCTTTTGGTGTTGATGGCAACGTTGGCAACAGATCAATGCAGTCAGAGACCAATAACCAATAATCAACAAGACAACTGGATTCAAACAACTCACCTACAAAATCGATTCAAGCCAGCAACAGTGACTGCAAGAAGCATCCCTGGCCTTCGACGAATATCTTCACAAACTGTACGTCGTCGCCTCAGATTGGCAGGGAATTTTGTCGCCAGAAGACCCGCCAGACGTCCCATATTGACAGGAAATCACCGCCAAACACGTCTACAGTGGTCCAGACAACGTCTACGCTGGACGGCCATGCAGTGGGGACAAGTTCTATTCACTGACGAGTCTCGTTTTCACCTCAGCCACTGCGATGGACGGATTCGACTGTACCGATGTCGAGGTGAACGTTACGTCAATCATTCTGTCATGGAAGAAGATCGGTTCGGGGGCGGCAGAGTTATGGTATGGGGTGGGATTACAGCAAGACAGAGGACCGGTTTGATTGTGGTAGAGCGAAATCTCAATGGACAGCGCTACCGTGACGAGATCATCGGCCCTGTTGTTCTACCGTTTTTGCGTCGTCATGGCCCAGGCAATACCTTTCAACATGGCAACGCCCGGCCTCATATTGCTCGACTTGTTCCTCTTCAACCCCTTCATCCTCTGGCTCATGATGGATGAGATGGATCGGCGCCTTCGATGTCAACCACGTGTTCCACAGACACTCCAGGAACTTCGAAACATGCTCCAGTAGATATTGACAGATATCCCACAGGACTTTGTGCGACGCCTGGTCCAGTCCATGAGACGAAGATGTGTTGCTTGCATCGCAACCAGATGTGGACACACACGCTATTGATTTGTAAATTGACATGTTGGCATGTTCATGGTTTATTCTATGAAATCACGCATTTTCTTAAGTCAGTATGGCAAATTAAATCATTTGAACACTTACAGGATTCTTTTATCTGTTGCAAACCGAAATTGTTTCAGCTTTGGTAAAAATCATAACTTTGTATTAAATCTTATTCAATGTCACAGGAACTTTTGTTGTTCAGTATACATAGCAATAATCTCAGAACCTACAGGCGATTGAAGACGCAGGATGTAGTTGAATCTTATGGTTTAAATGTAAAATATAGGGACAACCGTCGAATCTAGCTTTGTTTAGATGGGAATCCTTATCAATTGGGCGTTTTAACAAAACACCAACCCATCGTTTAGATAGAATTTGTCCACAGAGTTAAATAATAGAATTATTATGAATTACATTTCTTAATATCATGTCCTTTTTATGAAGATTTAAGACACGCACTTTTTAGATATTGTTTGTAATTAAATCCTCTCCTACAAATCGGACTGATTCGTATTTATTTTAATATAAAAAGTACAGGTCTTATTAGCAAGCACACTTAATAAAATGTCTGAACGAAACATTTTTATAAACTAAGAACATTGTGTTAACGCACTATTTTTACAGGATAAGAACAGTATCCTTCTTGATGTTCAAGTTTATATAATGTTTTATCGTCTAAAAGTATCTCATATTCAAAGCCTTGTTGGTTGGCCTTACTCTTAATTTATATGTCCAATGTTTGTATATACAACGCTTATGTAACGTGACATATACATAAGCTATGAAGACACACATGCATTTGGGAAAGTGGTCAAATGTAACAAATGTTATATTTTGGATAACACTTTCTAAGTAAAGTACAGATTTTCGTACTTGTCAGAGGGGTACACAAAGTACCTGATCGAGACTACCAGTTGTGGGACGTTCATCTTGTGGAAGTCTCGGTAGCCGAGTGCGTGTTGGCGATTAGGTGCCTCACTCTGGCAGTGTGAGTTCGAATCCCGGATGGGACTCAACCCATAAAAGAACAAGAATCGGTACTTTACTAAGACAGTGTTATCCAAAATATAACAATTGTGACATTGTATACATAAGCTATTTCTCTCACTGTCACGTCATGTCGGATACTAGTATACACGATAGGTTGCTGTGAGCCTACATACACACTTGGCAAACACTGAACAATTTAACTATGCACACTGCATAGGCAGCAGCTGGCACATAAACAATAGAGATTAAAGCTGTCAACTATATCAAAGAACTGGGTGTGCAGTGAATTTAATTGTACGCGATGTAGTATCACGAGAAGAAATATATAAACTGAGGTGCAAAAGAAACGCTACATCTCAGTTGCATTTATCATATGTTTGATTTTCGTGTGGGAAAATCTAAAGCCTGATATATTTATCAAACATGAACTGTACCGGCGCATTGTCAGCACTCAAAGAATACATATATTTGGTTATATTGAAACCGGAATAAGTATATAAATTATTCATATAACACAATTTTGTTATGGGTATCGTATCTTTAAAAAATCGATTATTATTCTTTATTCGGCTGACGGCTAAATAGAACAACATATGTTTCAATTTCCATTAACATCAAAGACAAACTCGAAAGACACCCCCCCCCACACACACATACACACATACAGGGTACATGTATTGTCGACACGCGCTGTATTAAACGTGAAGGTTGACTTGAATGCATCCTCTCAAGAATACCTGAGTTAGTCAACCATGTAATGTCCCGGTTACATTAATCGATGAGCAGAACAGTTTAAATACAATTGCGGGAGTATTATTAACACATACATAGAATATGTGTGCACACACACAGGAACGACCTGGTGACACACAATTGCAAGCGATGGGCGAATAGACATGTAAGTTGGTTATCCTTTCTCACCAGACAAGCCCTACTGGGCATATATCCTGTCGTCATATATCTCTACAAATATAGAATTGCAGTGTTTATAAATCACATGACTTCAGTTTCTAACCACGTGATGCAATCCGAGAAGTTTATCACAAAGTTGTCGGAGTCGTTTTTAACAACATGCAATAAGTACGTGGTTCAAGGAGAGATTATCAAACTAGTCTCTCCAATTGCGCCTTGAAGCTTAAGTCTATAACTATCCCAAATGACATAACACGTTCGGTTATATTTAGAAATCAATAGGTTACATCCCTGTGAACAATGAGGCTGAATCCTATGTAATCTACCATACAAGGCTCTGACATTATACATGTCGTATTGATTTATTGCGAGTTCATTTTCAAAGCAGAGATTACTAAATGGTACACTGTGTGTTGACACTGTGTGTCGAATGGGGTTTCTATAGAGAAGTTCATGATTGATGTTTGTGATAAAACGTTCGTGCGTCTTTACTGGTATTAATTGTGAATGAAAGTTCTACCGATTTGAAAGTATGTCTTTGGGACCATTGTAAGTGAAATGCTTAAGCCTACGATCCCAGAAAATCAAAGATGGCCAATGATTGGTATGCACCAACTTGGCATGTCATGTCGGGCTATTGCTGTCGTGGTATGCACAAAGGGAGACAACTACAGTTGTCATGATGTAGCCATCACGAATAAACGTGTCTGAAGCTCACTCCTGCGTCCGTCCTGATGTTGAAGGAATAACTAACGTAACATGGTGTCAGAAGTGGGATTGTGTCAAAACAGGACCTAACGGACGTCATACCAAAAAGGTACTGGAAATTTCTGTGTAAAAAACAAACTATATTTTGAACTCAATACGAACTGTTTCAATATTTCAAGTGGCTTGCCAATCATCGTCCTTCAGCACACTCAAGTATTTTACAATACATAACACAAAGTGAACAATCGTCCTGGAGTTGGCCTTCTGTAGATCGCAACTCCATTTCTGGTGTCCCCGCCGTGATATTGCTGGAATATTGCTGAAAGCGGCGTAAAACCATACTCACTCACTAACTAAGAACTTTTCGAAGATAGACGCTAGACGGATTTGCCTCCGACCTCTTTGAGTATAAAAAGAACAAGTATGTTCTCGAGGTGGACTTTTACTCCCGTTTCATAGAACTTGGCAAAAGAAGTAATCAACTTGCTCAAATTTTACTGTGACGCACATATTAGGCAATTTACGTTACATTAAGCTGACACGCCGTGATATAACTGGAATACACACAGGCTATTGAATTGTAAATTGACATTTTGGCATGTTCATATCTTTTTATGAAATCACGCCTTTTCTGAAGTCAGTATGACAAATCAAACCATTTGAACACTTACAAGAGTCTCTTATCTGTTGCAAACCGAAATTGTTTCAGATTTGGTAAAAAACATAACTTTGCATTTAATTTCGATGTCAGAGGAACTTTTGTTGTTCAGTATACATAGCAATAATCTCAGAACCGACAGGCGATTGAAGACGCAGGATGTAGTTGAATCTTATGGTTTATGGTTTATGGTTTCAATGATGGACATACGAGGGTTGGTCAACAGGTTCTAAGCCTGACTAACTTTCAACTATGGGCTAAACTACCGGGCAAAAGAAAGTTTTCACTTTAAAAATAGTTGTATAAAAAGCGAAAAAGCTGGTGCAGGTTTGAACCCCCGCAGAAAACATTCGCCCAAATGCAACATGACCACAAGCACAACGCAGATTTTCGAACGCAGCTTTCCAAATCATGCATTGTTGAAAACGCGCAAAACGTGATTTTGAGACATTGGTCCAAATGCACGTGCGTGATTGTTGCATAAATACCGACGTTGGACAGAGCAGGCATTCAGTAAGCAAATAACCACCAAGAATATGCCCAGACTTACACAAGCGCAACGAGACAGAGCGATCGGTATGGCCAATAAGGGGGCTACTCAACGTCAGATAGCCAGGACCTTCAACTGCTCCCAGACCACCATCAGCAAGTTGATAATCCGCTACCAACAGACAGGACAGACTCAAGACCGGCCAAGATCGGGAAGACCGAGAGTGACAACACCGGCCGAAGACCGCTACGTCCGGCAGATTCACCTCCGAAACAGATGTGTGACGGCGACGTCAACGGCGGCAACAGCACTAGGGCATGCCATCAGCAGACGGCGTCATGGTATGGGGTGGCATTTGTGGCCAGATTACAACACGATACAGGGATGAGGAGGCGTGTGTTGGCGTGCATGGATGCCCAGGGTGGTCACACTCGCTATTGATGACGTGTTACCTGACCGGCATTTAACAGCTGTACCAACAACAACGTACAGCGTGACTGACGCCATTTCTGGCAAATACGAAAACAATGGAGTTAGCTCCGGTTTCAAACTAGAGTGACCTCCCTTTCCCAATATGAACCACTGAGGCGGTTTCGCCGTTTAGTTCAATCACGTGGCAGCAAAATTGGACGTACAGTAGGACGTCGTGATCGGATGTTATGCTCTCGAAATTGATTCCCATGGTCCTTGCAGTAATCGGACGTCAGCCAGTGAGGCTGCGGGCTGTTATAGCTGCAGTCTTAAACCGATTTCGCCGGTGTACCGGGACATGATGATCTTGCCGACGTGACGTTACCCGTGGACGTCGACGTTCAGAGTGAGGTCGGTCCCTGGTGTTGGCAAAGAAACTAGAGTGACTGCATGGTGCTACGATGAACTCCAAACCGCCAAGCAACGTGTTGTGCAATGTCGGTTTCAAACCTTCCCACTGCACGCAACTTCTCCTTTTCACATAGGTGAGGTGAGGTGAAATTGGGTTTAACGTCGCGTCCAAGATTATTGCACTTATATAGCGACGTGCTTGCATTTGTGTGAGTGTGTGTATGTGTGTGTGTGAGTGTGTGTATGTATGTGTGTGTGTGCGTGTGAGTGTGTGTGTGAGTGTGTGTATGTGTGTGTGTGAGTGTGTGTATGTATGTGTGTGTGTGCGTGTGAGTGTGTGTGTGAGTGTGTGTATGTGAGTGTGTGAGTGTGTGTATGTATGTGTGTGTGCGTGTGAGTGTGAGTGTGAGTGTGTGAGTGTGGCTGTGGCTGCTTGTACTAGTCCGGAATGATGCCTATTTATAGTGCTAGCCAACTGAGATACCATGCCGCGGATTAACATGAACACCCTACTCAGACACAGTATTCTGACGCCAGACAGGGTAACTACAAGTACCATCTCTTAACGTCGTTTAGTCTGACGCGGCCGGAATCGAACCCCGGACCTATCGCTCTCACAGGCGGACGCTCTACCACAAGACCACGAAGAAGGTCTGTACTGGAAAGATGTGTTCTGGAAGCCACCTTGCTCTTCTCCAATAATATCTTTAATATCAAGGAAAGTATCCTGTCTCTTATTTAGAATACACGCGAATATATACCTCGTGGTGTTAAGTAATAATGTAAGGTTCGTAGATTGCCTGTGTTGCCTTTCTTATGCAGGGGTGTTATAATGGATATATTGGGTTGACAGCAAAGACACAAAACGTACTTACTACTTACTAATTCAATTTACATCTGTTTCAGGGCGGTAGTGTAGCCGAGTGGCTAAAGCTTTCAATCGTCCTGGGGTCGACATGTGTAGCCCGTCTCCGGCGTCCCCGCACTGATACTGCTGGAATATTGCTAAAAAGGCCACCCAGCTGCAGTGTTTCGTTGTTTCGAACCCTGACAAATATTCCCTTTTAAGTAAGACAGTACGACTGGTACTGTAGCCCCGTAAGTGGAACTATAACGTGTCCGGTACTGTAATGAAAGCCAGTTTGAGTCAGCAATATTCCAGTCACGGCACCGTGCGTGACCTCGTACAGTACGTGACCTCGTGCAGTAAAGCTGAGGTATTGCCTTGTCTTTAACCTACTGTGCTCGAACCAAGCACCGCATCAATTTCCAGTTTTTTAGAACAGCGTATACTTATTTTTACATATGTGTTTTTGTCATATTTACAAGTCCATAATGTCTTATCTTTCCGAGAGCCTACTGGTGTCACTTTCGTAGTAAATCTATTTTTTAAATCGAAACTTCCCGTTATTTCAAATATTTTATTGCTATGTCAAGAAATAAACTTAAATTTTCGGAAACATACTTGAAATAACGATAAAATAATTTGAAATGCCGAGAAAAAAAATCGAAAATTCCAGTTGGGGAAATGAGCTTGAAATAGTGAGAAAATAACGGAAATTACGAGAAGAAAAACTCGAAATAAAGAGTATGAACTTGAAAATAATTAAGAACAACAATTATGGTTTTAAAGTGGCATCATTATATCTTACCGAGGGTAGACCCAAATAATTTTCATTATATCTAAGGGTTAAACGTCCAAGACCTGCATCACTTCGTGCTATCCTCCACCAACAAGTTTGACTGACATACTGTTCAAGTCCTCCTCGAAACCGACTCACGCTCTCAACACGTGTCACTGAATGCGATGGAGCGGCGTAAAACAATATTCATTTATTCAGATTACAACACTGATTTAGTCTTTGGGTTTGTTTTCAAACTACCACCAATGCTTGTAAAATAATCGTAATTGTGCATTTGGTTAATTGGAATAATTGTGATTTCAGTCCTGCATCCTGGACAGGCACAACCATCCTGGCAAGACTGAAATAAAGACTGTCTGCTGTCTCAGTTAAGTTCAGCGGCACAGCACACAAAGAAGATAACAATGAATGATTGCTGTTGATTCCTAACCACGATCTTATGACGTCCACCAGCACGGAACCCATAGAATTGCAACCTGACCTGATGGTTGTGGAGCCTGAACGTGATGACAGTGGCGCGCTGAGAGCCCCGGACGGGGGATGGGGATGGGTGTGTGTGGCAGGGCGGTTCTTCGTAGTTGCTCTTGTTTTGGGACTTGTCAGTGGCTTTGGCATTGTATATGTTGAAATAATTGACCATTTCGACACCACAAGAGTGGAAACAGCATGGATGAGCTCACTTCACAGCGCAACATATTGTATAACAGGTGGCTACAATGCCTACTTTTAGAGTCACTAGGGATTCCATGCTTGTTTTTAAATAGTCTCATTAAAATCAGATCTTAGTTCTCGCTACCGCTAGACAAAGATCTGAGGACATAACATTAGGGGTCACGCGAGAACGACCTTTCATCCGACCAATCAGAGTGTCGCTTACAGATCATGAAAGTGACAGTCGGAATGTGATTTCTAATCATGCAACTTCGAAAACTTTAACACGGGGTACACCGAACGATAGTTGCGGGCTTAACGACTGAATCCATACAATCAAGACCATCTTTTAGCTATTCCAAAATGTTCTTTTGTTCAGGTTTCAATTTTTTTTATCGAGAACTTGTGAAAATATGTTTCGAAGCGTAGTCGCCATTTTGAAATTAATGCAGTAAAGCACGAGAAAGCTGCCTTCTGATTGGCTTGTGTCGACTTCTTGTCAGTCATTTCATTGGTCGGTCAAAGTTCGTGCAAGGTCGGTCTGTTGTGACCCGTAATCAAAACATGTCGCCTTTGTTTAAAGTAAATATCCAATCGCTCGCACCTTTTTCGGTTGTCAAGCAAAGTCATGACGATGCCCTGTTAACCATAGTCGGTTTAGTCATAGCTATCTTCTACAAACTGACAAGGATGAACCAATAAAAGGCATCTCTTAGGTTCACGGTCAATATTTTTAAATGTGTTTTATTTACATGCTTGAATTATGGTTATTATAATTCATCAGACTGCCTGAGTTCTTTTGCTATTAATTGTTTTACATGGGTTCTCTGATATTAACATCACTGTTTTATGGTGCAAGCTGTTTATGATATATACCACAGAAATATACACTTTGTATCAGGTCTTGTTGGTGGTGGCGTACTGGAACGTTTCGGCTGCCGAGCAATGACAGTAGCGGCGTCTATCCTCACAAGCGCCGGCTTCATCTTCAGCCTGTTCGCCCAAAACCTCGTCCTGCTGTGTGTCCTGTATGGCGTCCTGACTGGTGAGTCACCAGGGACCTTTTGCCTTCCTGTGTGGTGCAGTAGGGGTGTCTGTGTGAGTGAGATTGGCTTAAAGTCGTTTAACAATGTTTCTGTCAAAAGTTGTGGCTACAAATGTGTAAGCCAAACTACGAAGTATGTATCGTCCACCCTTAACAGATTTCACCACATTGTTCAATGGTATGGGTTCTTATATGGCAGGGTTCTAAATCTTTTTTTGTCATCTGGAGGCTTTATTCTTTTCAGATGCAAGTTGACCTTATCAGGATCATTTTATCAGGCTTGCCAACTTGCATGTGAACAATAAAGCCCTAAATGCCAAAATGATTTAAAACCCTGCCATCTAATAAAATTTAGTACAATACCTCCCATGCTTTCAGGCTGAATTTGAACCAATACACAATTATATTATGTAGGCATCAAAGTGACTAGGTATTCTCACTTGATGGAAACGGACAAATTTGGGTACCGCGCTGTCTTCAAGTATCTCCAACAGAAAGGGTAAGTTCCAACGTCCATCTATGATGGAATGATGCTCCTGCCGTTGTCATTGTTAAGAGGTGGGTAGCGGAGTTCAGGAGAGGAAAAGAGAGCCTGGAAGATGATCCAAGACCAGGAAGACCAACAGCCACCACTAAGGAACATGTTGACAACATACATGATAAGAGTATGGACGATCGACGACTCACCACACGCCACGTGGTCAATACACGAGGGATATCTCATGAGAGAATTGAGCACATTCTGAGGAAAGGAGTGGGCCTGACAATGGTTCCACCACGCTGGGTTTCAAGGATTCCGACACAAGGTTCAACATCAGGTTCATTGACGTTGTTTTGATTTTGTTTGATTTTGTTGAACAATTTGTAACTATGGTGGAGTCCTGGATTAACCCAACTACAAAACAACGCCTGAGAATGACCAGTCTCGATTAAACGCTGAAACTAATAGGAGATGTATTCATGTCAACAACAGTCAAAGTAGTTAAACATCTTATGTCGCATTTGAAGAATAAGGCAAATCCATTGCATTCGTTTTTTTCTAGAATTCCAAAGGAATCCTACTGGTGGACTACCTCCCAGGCCAGGCATAGGAAAGACTAGGCAATTAATGGCCAGTATCATACCGGGACATGTACAGCTGCGTTATAATGTCAGGCCAAACGCCTCACTAAAACTCACTGAAGGCTTGATGCTCCGGACAAATATGATGTATATAGGGCTGTATTGTATGGCTTTGAACCCATTTGAGTTCCACCCATTCCCAAACGTGAAGAGAGAACTGTCTGGCAAACCTATTGCAAATGATGATAACGTCATTTGTTTGGGGAGAGCATTTTCAACCACCAGGAGGAAGTCTTCTACCCCCGTGGGATCCAGCAGATCCATCATTGATGGAGACGTGTTTGGACCTTTGAGAGGTTATGTTGAACCATGAATTAGCAGCCAACTCCATGAGGCAGAAAATGTATGGATGTCAACTTCTATATTATGCGGAACACAGCACTGATGAAGGAGTAAGTATATGCTATGAAACGTGTTGTTCCTCATAATAAAGAAGTTGACATCCATAAATTCTCTTTAATGTTTGTATCACTTCTTAGTCCCATTAAGAGATTCCATCAAATCTGCCAATCTTTTAAGTCCCCCTTTGTGTATCACTGCAAGTCAGCATGATGTGGGTGTCAAGCCCGAAATGATGCAATTATAGATGTTTTCGGCTAAAGTGAAACTCACGAGGACAGGTATGACGCTGACAAACCTAGACACATTCTCGGCGATAATCATGGATTCGTACCTGTGATCAAAAGTTTCTGAGACACATAATTAATTCTCCACAAAGAATCGCGGTACCTAATGCGATTCGGTCACCAGTGCCAAATCATTTGTGAGAACAGGGTTGGAATTTCATTTACATTTACCTTCCATTATATTACTTTTTTAACTGGTGTCGAAAAAGCAGTCTAGACCTTGTCCTTGTCCAGTTCTTGTGATCGTTTGTCAGTGCAGGATTTCATCAGTTTGTTTTAACAAAATACCCCCATTTTACAGACGTTGAGATATGAAAGCCTTTCTAGACAAATAGCGTCTATATCATGAATGAGTTAATGTGTAATTGTCCCCCGGGAATATGTCGGAATGTCTAAGAAAATGGATGGCTAATCAGGCTCTGAAGTTGTGAAGGCCAGTACAAGCTCATCACCAGACTCTACCAGGCGGTATTGTAGGAGAGAACAGTAGCTACTAGATAGTAATAAATAGTGATAGTGTATAGTTTGCATGCTGCTTACTTCATGTAAAACCACACTCTCCCACTCCATATGTAGCCCCAAAAGAAGAATTTCCGTCACTGCACCGTGTTCTTATGTTGCAGGAGCTGGAGTGTCCCTGATGTACACTGCGTCCACTGTCATCGTGCTGCAGTACTTCGACAAGAAGCGGGGCCTCGCCATGAGTATATCTTCCCTGGGGGAAGGAGTGGGTATGCTGGTGTTACCTCCCCTGACCTACCTTCTGATAGAGACGTACAGCTGGCGGGGAGCCTTCCTTGTCACGGCGGGAATCACTCTGAACGCAGCTGTGTTTGGGCTTCTGTTCAAACCACCGCCATACCTCAGCAAGGCGGTCCAAAGTAAGTTACGTCCTTCACAAATGAATGTGTGAGTGGGTTGGGTTTGAACACCGCTTTTAACAGTATTCCAGTTATATCACGGAATAATCTAGTTTGCATATATGTATCACACATGTCAGAACAACCCTTACTTTCTAAAGTTGCAGACACTACCCAGAGACACAACACCAATGTCCTACAGCCATTCACACGAATTATGTTTGCAGACAATACTGAAAGACAACATTGTTCTACAATTTTCTGATCAACTCATGCACGAGACGTTGCTCTTGCTGTTTGCTTTGGTCCCTTGCTACCGGCATGCTTACCCTTTCCGCTGTTATCACACTGATTTTTAGTGATCCATTTATCTTATTTACATCACTGGTTTGCCGTTTACGCCCCATGGAATCTGTTTCGTCAGATGACGAGACTAATACTGCTCCGGCGTTGACATTTAGTATTTACTGTCAATGTTTCGATTTATGTTGGCAGACAATACCCAGAGACGCAAAAAAGATATGCTTCAGTCCTTTAAACATCTCTTGCACAAGAAGTTGTTCTTCCTGTTTGCCCTTGGGTCCTTCCTGGTCCACGCCGGCTACACCGTGCCGCTGATCAATCTGATCGACCTCGTGGATCTGAAAGACATTGACAAAAGCCAGAGCGCCATGTTGATCCCCGCGATGGGAGTATCCACCATCTTCTCCCTGGTTCTGTTTGGCTGGGTCAGCGACTTTCCAGGTGTCAATAGGACGGGGCTACACGCCGGCAGCATCGCTGTGATGGCAGTGAGTGTGATGCTGGTGCCGGCACTGGACTCTATAGAAGCATTCTTTGTGTTTGCTGCCGTATATGGAGTATTTATGGGTGAGTAAAGTGTGTGAGTCATTTTGTGTTTGATGTTATATTATGCGGTCCACAGTATTCCAGTAATGTAACGAAGACTTCTAAATAATTGTGACAGGACCAACACTGTCAACGTGCTGTGTGGTATGTGTGTGGTGTGTTTGTGGTGTGGTGTGGTGTGGTGTGGTGTGGTGTGGTGTGGTGTGTGGTTGTTGATGGTGTGTGTGTGTGGTGTATGTCTGGTGTATGTCTGGTGTGTGTGTGTGTGTGTGTGTGTGTGTGTGTGTGTGTGTGTGTGTGTGTGTGTGTGTGTGTGTGTGTGTGTGTGTGTGTGTGTGTGTGTGTGTGTGTGTGTGTGTGTGTGTGTGTGTGTGTGTTTCGGAAGGGGGGAGGGTTTGTTGTATCAAGGCAATCATCAATATTTAAGCTGTACGACGATGGCCTGCGAATCTGGTCCAGATTGTCAGGTGACTGACTGAGCTATGATTGACACCATCGGATAAAGTGACGCACAGAAATTCCAGTTTCCTTTCGATAGCAAAGTGGGGTGAAGAAGTTCCGGGTTCGATTCCAAAAAATGGTAAAAAGCCCACATCTGGTGTACTCCGCCGCACTTTTGATTGGATATTGTTAACTGCGGCATGAAACCATACTCACTCACAACATACGTAATATGTCTATACAACAATGAATGTTGACGACAAACTTTGATTTCTCCAGGAACATGGCACATGGGGCAGGCGGTCATCGTCACTGAGATCGTCGGTGTCGAGCTCACAGGCGTGGCCTTCGGCATCCATACCTTGCACGCTGGAGTGGGGATGTTTGTCTCGTCCCTTCTAGCAGGTACTTGCCGCCCGTGTACCACACTCCCGGGACACGAACACATTGCCGCCCGCGTACCACACTCCCGGGACTCTAACATTGCCGCCCGGGTACCACACTCCCGGGACACACATACATTGCCGCCCGCGTACCACACTCCCGGGACACACACACATTGCCGCCCGCGTACCACACTCCCGGGACACGAACACATTGCCGCCCGCGTACCACACTCTCAGGACACACACATTGCCGCCCGCGTACAACACTCTCAGGACACACACATTGCCGCCCGCGTACCACACTCTCAGGACACACACATTGCCGCCCGCGTACCACACTCTCGGGACACACACATTGCCGCCCGTGTACCACACTCTCAGGACACACACACATTGCCGCCCGGGTACCACACTCCCGGGACACACACATTGCCGCCCGCGTACCACACTCGAAGGACACACACATTGCCGCCCGTGTACCACACTCCCGGGACACACACATTGCCGCCCGCGTACCACACTCTAAGGACACACACATTGCCGCCCGTGTACCACACTCCCGGGACACACACATTGCCGCCCGCGTACCACACTCTAAGGACACACACATTGCCGCCCGTGTACCACACTCCCGGGACACACACATTGCCGCCCGTGTACCACACTCTCAGGTCACACACATTGCCGCCCGTGTACCACACTCCCAGGACACACACACATTGCCGCCCGTGTACCACACTCTAAGGACACACACATTGCCGCCCGTGTACCACACTCTCAGGACACACACATTGCCGCCCGTGTACCACACTCCCGGGACACACACACATTGCCGCCCGTGTACCACACTCCCGGGACACACACACATTGCCGCCCGCGTACCACACTCCCGGGACACACACACATTGCCGCCCGTGTACCACACTCCCGGGACACACACACATTGCCGCCCGCGTACCACACTCCCGGGACACACACACATTGCCGCCCGTGTACCACACTCCCGGGACTCACACACATTGCCGCCCGTGTACCACACTCCCGGGACTCACACACATTGCCGCCCGTGTACCACACTCCCGGGACACACACACATTGCCGCCCGGGTACCACACTCCCGGGACACACACACATTGCCGCCCGGGTACCACACTCCCGGGACTCACACACATTGCCGCCCGTGTACCACACTCCCGGGACACACACACATTGCCGCCCGTGTACCACACTCCCGGGACACACACACATTGCCGCCCGGGTACCACACTCCCGGGACTCACACACATTGCCGCCCGTGTACCACACTCCCGGGACTCACACACATTGCCGCCCGTGCACCACACTCCCGGGACACACACACATTGCCGCCCGTGTACCACACTCTCAGGACACACACATTGCCGCCCGCGTACCACACTCCCGGGACTGTTGCTTTATTAGAAGATGTTTGAATGTGGAGGACGTTCCCAATTTGCCGCATCTGTGAAATAAATGGTGTCTTATTTTGATCAGATGTCCCCGTTTTTATCGGATGTACAATTGATTTACCTTTGCATGTGTTTGTGACGGGTGCCACCGCTAGGACAGGATACGCTCAACCACCTGGTATTGTCACAATTTAAAAGTGATTCATGAACTCATGCTAATGGTTGTCGAAATTGTACATTTATGAATATGGAAAGGGTTTTGTCTGTGTTATTTATTGTTTATCGTATCCGTTGGCATAGAGAGTTTTCAAGCCGTGTAAGAAATTTCAATCAACATTGGCCGTGACGTTACTGTTACTCGGACCATAATAGTTGTAGAAAATGTAAGTTATACTTTAAATCCTATCTGATGGTTATCGAAAATAACATGTACACGAGGTAATTGATGAAGTTAACTACGCCCTGTCAACACATGTCGTTTATACAGAATGCTACGTTTACTGGGGTCACAGTTGGCCAAGTCGTCGAAGGTGTCGCAATTCGCTGCGCAGAGTTGAGTCCCTTGGACTCGCCAGAAACCTATGATCGTTGGTTCGTGATTCTGTTTCTAGGTTTGTCAGCACCATATCCGTGCTCGTGGGTTTCACCGAAGTGGTAAACATCTGAGACCCGCATCACTTGGACTTTCCTCCTATAGTAATCTGACACGCCGTGATATAACTGGAATATTGTTGAAAGCGGCGTTGAACCCAACTCACTCACTCATGGCTTCTGTCACTCGATGTCTGCTCCATAAGGTTCTCCATGCTTTACAAATGCTGATTTTTTTCAATTTATTGTTTTGGAACAATATAAAAAAAGTCAACGTTAATGGACATCATAATTCAAACATGAAGTTATTTACACCAGGAAGAATTATCCATAATAATCAGTGATAACAAATCCTTTTCGCGAACACCTGGCATCATCACTATTTTATAGTGATTCATAAACACATGCTCATGGTCTAGTCGGAATCGTACAATGACCGTTTAGTGGATATATTTTATGATTATGGAAATGTTTTTGTGTGTCACTTTTAATCTAATTATTTTAAACATTTTGCATTTTGTCAGACAGGGACACAAAGTATGTGATCTAGACTACCAGTCGTTGGACTTTCATTTTTTTGTGTAAGCTTCGGTTACTGAGTGGGTTAGATCGGGTATGTATGTTGGCGATTAGGTGCCTCACTCTGACAGTGTAGGTTCGAATATCAGACGGGACTCAACCCCCCCAAAGTACGAGAATCTTTACTTTACTATTAAAGTGTTATCCCAAATATAACATTTGTTAATTATTTTATGTTTTTACTTTTCAGGGTGGCTATTTGATATCACTGGTAATTACGTCTGGTCTTTTTATGTATCGGGAGGACTGTACCTACTCGGGTGTTTCGTGACTCTCCTGGTGCTCATCGCGCGCCATCTAGCGACCAGGAACAAGCACAGACGTGACAACGCCCCTTCAGCCGAGGTGCGTCCACTGTCACAGTCTTAGATACTTACGTTAGTAAGTTATGCAGATTCGGTCTCCAGCACCCCAATGCTTGTTGTAAGAGGAGATTAAACTGGATTTGATGTTCATGTTCTGTGACTTGCTGATGTCGTGTCATCGTGCCGCGATCTTTTTTAGTAGAAATAGAGAATTTCACGATGAACGTGATTAAAAAATGGAAAACATTTCCGCGGATTGCACAGAATGGATTTGTGTGCTATCGAAAGATAAGGGTGAGATTATTAAATTTGGTTTCTTGATTGTGATAAGAACAGATAACAAGCATTGTCAGAGAGATTAGTGATGTCATTAGATTGTGACGTCATGGTAAACGAGGACGTCACAATGGCCTCCAAAGCAATATCTCTTGTGAAATGCAGAGTTGCCTCCCCATATATCGCCAGAATCCGCTGCTTCGAACCTCAGTATTATTCGGAACATGATCCTTGGTTTGCCGGTGTGTCGGGGCAAAATCAATCCCTCAGAATTCACTCAAGAGTGAATTGAGCCATTCTACTCTACTGTGCCCAAACCACAGCCCAGGTCATCATTGTGTTATGGAAGAAGATCGGTTCACGGACGGCAACGTTATGGTATGGGGTGGGATTACAGCAAGACAGGGAACCCGTTTGATACTGGTAGAGGGAAATCTCAATGGACAGCGCTACCGCAACGAGATCATCGGCCCTGTTGTTCTACCGTTTTTGCGTCGTTATGGCCCAGGCATTACCTTTCAACATGACAACGTCCGGCCTCATATTGGTCGACTTGTTCAGGATTCTCTTCAACAAAACAACGTCATCCCCTGGCCGGCTCGCTTCCCTGACTCTCACCAATCGAGCACATGTGGGATGAGATGGATCGGCGCCTGCGACGTCAACCACGTGTTCCACAGACACTCCAGGAGCCTCGATACATGCTCCAGCTGATATGGACAGATATCCCACGGGACTTTTAGCGACGCCTGGTCCATTCCGTAAGACGAAGACGTGTTGCTTGCATCGCAACCAGAGGTGGACACACACGCTTTTGATTTGTAAATTGACATTTTGGCATGTTTTTTTTTATGAAATCACACATCTTCTGAAGTCAGTATGGCAAATCAAACCATTTGAACACTTACATGAGTATTTTATCTGTTGCAAAACCGAAATTGTTTCAGGTTTGGTAAAAAAAACCCTTAACTTTGCATTAAATCTTTTTCAATATCACAGGAACTTTTGTTGTTCAGTATATAATGTCGGGGAAACGTTCGTAGAGGTAACAAAAGAGAAAGGAAATTATTAAGTGTGATTGTTGTTGAAATCGCAAAACAAGAAGAAATTTCATTTGCAAGAGTGAGTCGGCTCCCCACGCATTCAAGTAGACTAAGGCCAGGCATTATGTATTCATGGACTATGGTTTGTTTAACTAAATTCAGGACTCCTAAGCCCAACGTCACAAGAATGGGCCAAGTGAGGAGACTGTGGAGTCGTAATGTAAGGATCATACAGATGTAGTGAGACGCCCTCGACAAACCCGTAATGCCTTCTTGGAAGAAGCGAGGGAAGATGGCGAGTTTTCTTTTGATACATGACAAACTGTAGATAGACAAGAAACTCTAAAACCTGATGAGACTAACGAGGTCAACCCGGTACATGTGTGAGGACCTTTAAACCCAGAGTCACGGGTGCACAGGGACAATATCAAGTAGGTCAAGGCTCTAGTAACACTAAAGACAAAGCTGTTGTCAACTCTAAAATTTGAAGTTCCCCCATTCACTGACTTGTCCATTCGTATAAAGTCGTAGGAATTGTGGAAGCTTGGGCAGGGCAGAATGATATATTAAGTCTTCCTGGTTCTAAACAATGCAGCAACACCACACCAAAACCTGCTTGATACTCAGGAGGAATTGGGACAAGTTTGCATCATCTACATACCAACTGCAGCACAACTCGGGTACTACCGGTAGGGCAGGACATGTTTAACCTTTTCTGGCGTCATCACTGATTTTCAGTGGTCCATTCATAGAGTCTTACTGGTTATTTTGCACTTTGCGCCAATGGAATCTGTTTCGGTGGATAATCTAGACTTGTTATTCTCTTTTATTGACGGTTGTTATATGTCAGATTCAGTAGAAGTTCAATTCATTGTGTTTTGACAAAAATTAGTTGTCAGGAATGTAGTCTTATTTAATGTAAGCAGTGATGTGGCCGTAACTATATTTAGAAGTTTAAGAGTCAAGTGTAACCTGGAATGTTTTAGTACAGCTGGACCAGTCCAGCACTATATGGACTTTTCTGGAAGGTATTTAGACTATAGCAGTGGGCAAGGGCGTGTCTCTCCTCTCATTACTCATGTCACATTACACCAAGACCAGCAGTTGTGTGAAGATCACTTTTCGTTTGAAAGCTTGACCACTCTTGCTGCTAGGTGAGTATTATTACTGAAGTTTTGCTATTGTATTTTATACTGCCATTGTACGTGTATGGTCAATGTAATTGCTGTGCAGTGTTTCGTGCTAATTTGTAAACCTAGTTAGTGTTATAATACAATTGTTTATTATATGCCATTTTTGTTTTCTGTTGTTTTCACAATGCTATCTTCTATGTACAGATTTCTGGGTTAACCTATTGATTCAATTTGGAGGTCAACCAGTAACACAATGTATATTTATTGATAATAATGCCATTTCATATTTACCTTTAGATGATTGCCTTCACCATATCAGAGATTGCCAGTTCATTTCACGAGTCTCACAAGATTGTGTTCTAAAGTAGCGAGGTTGTAAATAACTTGATTTGTACAACTGGTTGTGGTAGGCTTGGTTACGAGGTAGGATGTGGAAAGGTAACAATAGTGTTAGGTATCAATTCCCAAATTGAAACAATATGTTAACTTAGAAATCTGTATGTAAAAGAACTGTGTGTGAAAACAACAAACAACCAACATGTGGTTTTCAATCAACAAATATATTACCAAATTCATAAACTTTACAAATCAATACAATTTACTGCACAGCAATTACAGTGGCAGTAAACAACAGAGTGGTAGTACAATATTCAATGGCAATAAACAATATAATTGCAGTCGTCAGTATTAAATACACACATAGCAAAAGTCAGTGATAATTATATATATTCATCCAGCTACGACAGTGGTCAAGCTTCCGAGACGGAATGGGCAGGGAGTTAGGGATAATGAGCGATCCTCACACGAAAGCTGTGATGTAACTGCGTGAGACATAAGTAAACACGCTCTTGTCTCCTAATATAGTCTGACCAGATGGTGAAAAATTCCACATAGTGCCCTCACCAGTCCATCGGCACCAGAGCATTAAAGAAGTTTCCATATCATGCTATCACCGACAGCAGTATACCGGGCCGGAATTCACACTGCAAGCTAAAATCACTGTTTAACAATAAAATAAACCATCATTGAACAATAGCGAACGATGGTGAGAGTGCAGTCGACTACGATATGGCTACAGAAGACAGTCTGTCACAGTCTGTGATCAAGTAGAATCTTCACATTTGCCAGTTGCTTTCTGGCTCCAAAAAGTTGTGACATGTACTGATGCTGATGAACATTTGACATCACGATCCACTTGGAAAGATGACAAAAGCGTTAAAGTAATTTTGCTATTTACTGAAATAAATGGAACTTGAAGGTTAAATATTTATAACAGTAAGATCACTGTTTTTCGAAACGGTGGACTATTATTTTGCTCTGAAACATTTTGCAAATTATCTTGAAAACTATCTAGCTAAAAATTTATTGATGTTCACCTTTCCTCATCTTGTTCATGGTACTTAACCCAAGATACATTGGCGTACCAACCTTGGAAAGTTATCCAAATATTGAAAAGTAAATCTGTTATGTTTCAAAAGCTTCCCATAATTATACAGCTTTATATTTATGATATTACAATCATGCCAATTGTATTATATGGATCTGACGTACGGGGTCTCCGACCTCCCCCAGGTGTTGATATAAACCATGACAGGTTTTGTAAATTAATTTTGGGTCTTAAACGCCAAACCCCGAATAAAGTTGCGACAGTATAATAATAACAGAAATTTCAGATATTGGCCATTTTGTGTGTTCAGTATAAGTAGAATCAGAATACAATTGCCCCAAATGTCCATTCTATGCAGACTTATTGTGTCCATGTAAAGCAGCAAAAACTTAACATGCTATCCCCAGCTCAAATCCGCCTTTATTAACAGTCCAGGTAAATATATGTTTTTAGCACTTATGAAACGCAACAGATATTTTACATGTCATTGAGTATCCGAGGTAGTAATACTTCCTACTGTTACATCATAAGGCAGACACTTTGGCGCTCTCTGTCATATATACTAGGTCTTGCATAGTGGTCCAGTATCCTCATGATGCAATAAACAATGCAATGCTACAGGAGACCGCCGACACCTGGAAGGGAGTATTGTATTCCACGACAACATACAACGTGTTCATGTACAGTTGTTCTTGTGCGATGCCTGTCTATTATGATGATAATCTATACAAAACACAACCAGTGTGCAGACTCCCGACGCTATGTACACGGCCCCGGCGAAGAAGAACGACGCAAGGTAGTTGTCCGTTACATCGTACATCCAACCTGAAACGATTAATCAGGGGAATTATAAAGTGTGCAGAGTTCGTGAGTACATTAGGTAACGACTTTGTTGAATACAGTGGTGCACATAGCTACTTGGCATTGTGGCCGCATGAAAACCTTGATTTTAAAGTTTACCGCCACAGAAATAGTGAAATCGCCAAACAGAGCACTGGGTGTCAATCGGATGGTGGTAAGGATTATAAAGTTAATAAACTGTTTGATAATTTGGTTCAACCCTTCCTGTCTTATGGACCCTGCAGCGAGATTCCGTTTAGCAGTGGCTAGTACAACACTAAGCCTGGCTTTTTATGGTAAAATAGGTTTCTGATTGTTTTTCTGAATTATGGAAAGACAAAGGTAAATCTAGCAGGAATAGGCTCTGCACATACCGTCTTTTTAAAGGCTCTGCAAGCTGAACCTTATGTCAATACGAATTTTAGCAGATCATATCGAAGAATTTTGAATAAATTTCGTAGTGGTACGTTACACCTTAAGCCCTCGTAAATGAAAGTGTTTGTAAACGCTGTCCTAATATGAGGTAGAACATGAAGTCCATTTTATAGTAACGTGTGACCTGTATTCAGATCTTAGATGTGAGCTATGGAAGGAAGCAGCTGCCTGTCCAATCACACAGTAATAAAGCCCCTGGTCGCTCTGCTGCCTGCAATGTATAGACGGCTAAGTCAGTCGGTTGACCTGCTGGTGGTGATGATATGATGGTTGCTACTCCTCCTACTGACCTGCTAGTGGTGATGATATGATGGCTGCTTCTCCTCCTACTGACCTGCTAGTGGTGATGATATGATGGCTGCTTCTCCTCCTACTGACCTGCTAGTGGTGATGATATGATGGCTGCTTCTCCTCCTACTGACCTGTTAGTGGTGATGATATGATGGTTGCTACTCCTCCTACTGACCTGCTGGTGGTGATGATATGATGGTTGCTACTCCTCCTACTGACCTGCTGGTGGTGATGATATGATGGTTGCTACTCCTCCTACTGACCTGTTAGTGGTGATGATATGATGGTTGCTACTCCTCCTACTGACCTGCTAGTAGTGATGATATGATGGTTGCTACTCCTCCTACTGACCTGCTAGTGGTGATGATATGATGGTTGCTACTCCTCCTACTGACCTGCTAGTGGTGATGATATGATGGTTGCTACTCCTCCTACTGACCTGTTAGTGGTGATGATATGATGGTTGCTTCTCCCCCTACTGACCTGTTAGTGGTGATGATATGATGGTTGCTACTCCTCCTACTGACCTGCTAGTGGTGATGATATGATGGTTGCTACTCCTCCTACTGACCTGCTAGTGGTGATGATATGATGGTTGCTACTCCTCCTACTGACCTGCTAGTGGTGATGATATGATGGTTGCTACTTCTCCTACTGACCTGTTAGTGGTGATGATATGATGGTTGCCTCTCCCCCTACTGACCTGCTAGTAGTGATGATATGATGGTTGCTACTCCTCCTACTGACCTGCTAGTGGTGATGATATGATGGTTGCTACTCCTCCTACTGACCTGTTAGTGGTGATGATATGATGGTTGCTTCTCCCCCTACTGACCTGTTAGTGGTGATGATATGATGGTTGCTACTCCTCCTACTGACCTGCTAGTGGTGATGATATGATGGTTGCTACTCCTCCTACTGACCTGCTAGTGGTGATGATATGATGGTTGCTACTCCTCCTACTGACCTGCTAGTGGTGATGATATGATGGTTGCTACTTCTCCTACTGACCTGTTAGTGGTGATGATATGATGGTTGCCTCTCCCCCTACTGACCTGCTAGTAGTGATGATATGATGGTTGCTACTCCTCCTACTGACCTGTTAGTGGTGATGATATGATGGCTGCTACTCCTCCTACTGACCTGCTAGTGGTGATGACATGATGGTTGCCTCTCCCCCTACTGACCTGCTAGTAGTGATGATATGATGGTTGCTACTCCTCCTACTGACCTGTTAGTGGTGATGATATGATGGCTGCTACTCCTCCTACTGACCTGCTAGTGGTGATGATATGATGGCTGCTTCTCCCCCTACTGACCTGCTAGTGGTGATGATATGATGGCTGCTTCTCCCCCTACTGACCTGCTAGTGGTGATGATATGATGGTTGCTACTCCTCCAGAGAAGATGAGGAAGCCGATGCCCCTGTTGGTATTCTTCAGGCCAACAATGTCCGCCACTATGACGCCGAGGAATGCACCCCATATGCCTGGAGGTGCACAGCATACAGGTGAGGGAGTGGGTAAGGGAGTGAGTGAGTGAGTGAATATGGTTTAAGGCCGCTTTAAGCAACATTCCGGCACAAGAAATGGGCTCCACACATTGTTCATTTCGAGAATCAAACTCGGGTCTTTAGTCACTAGACTACCCCACCGCTCCCACATCATACACGAGTTCATGGGTATAAAAGTATATATACAAGTTGGTGTGGAGTATAAAAGTAAATATACAAGTTTTGTCGAGTATAAAAGTATATATACAAGTTGGTGTCGAGTATAAGAGTATATATACAAGTTGGTGTCAAGCATAAAAGTATATATACAAGTTGGTGTCGAGTATAAAAGTATATATACAAGTTGGTGTCGAGTATAAAAGTATATATACAAGTTGGTGTCAAGTATAAAAGTATATATACAAGTTGGTGTCGAGTATAAAAGTATATTATCAAGTTGGTTTCGAGTATGAAAGTATATTATCAAGTTGGTTTCGAGTATGAAAGTATATATACAAGTTGGTGTCTAGTATAAAAGTATATATACAAGTTGGTGTCAAGTATAAAAGTATATATACAAGTTGGTGTCAAGTATAAAAGTATACATAGAAGTTAGTGTCGAATGTAGAAGTATATATTCAAGTTGGTGTCAAGTATAAAAGTATATATAGAAGTTGGTGTCAAGCATAAAAGTATATATACAAGTTGGTGTCAAGTATAAAAGTATACATTTAAGTTGGTGTCAAGTATAAAAGTATATATACAAGTTGGTGTCAAGTATAAAAGTACATATATACAAGTTGGTGTCAAGTATAAAAGTATATATAGAAGTTGGTGTCAAGTATAAAAGTATATTATCAAGTTGGTTTCGAGTATGAAAGTATATTATCAAGTTGGTTTCGAGTATGAAAGTATATATACAAGTTGGTGTCAAGTATAAAAGTATATATACAAGTTGGTGTCGAGTATAAAAGTATATTATCAAGTTGGTTTCGAGTATGAAAGTATATTATCAAGTTGGTTTCGAGTATGAAAGTATATATACAAGTTGGTGTCTAGTATAAAAGTATATATACAAGTTGGTGTCAAGTATAAAAGTATATATAGAAGTTGGTGTCAAGCATAAAAGTATATATACAAGTTGGTGTCAAGTATAAAAGTATACATTTAAGTTGGTGTCAAGTATAAAAGTATATATACAAGTTGGTGTCAAGTATAAAAGTACATATATACAAGTTGGTGTCAAGTATAAAAGTATATATAGAAGTTGGTGTCAAGTATAAAAGTATATTATCAAGTTGGTTTCGAGTATGAAAGTATATTATCAAGTTGGTTTCGAGTATGAAAGTATATATACAAGTTGGTGTCAAGTATAAAAGTATATATACAAGTTGGTGTCGAGTATAAAAGTATATTATCAAGTTGGTTTCGAGTATGAAAGTATATTATCAAGTTGGTTTCGAGTATGAAAGTATATATACAAGTTGGTGTCTAGTATAAAAGTATATATTCAAGTTGGTGTCAAGTATAAAAGTATATATAGAAGTTGGTGTCAAGCATAAAAGTATATATACAAGTTGGTGTCAAGTATAAAAGTATACATTTAAGTTGGTGTCAAGTATAAAAGTATATATACAAGTTGGTGTCAAGTATAAAAGTACATATATACAAGTTGGTGTCAAGTATAAAAGTATATATAGACGTTGGTGTCAAGTATAAAAGTATATTATCAAGTTGGTTTCGAGTATGAAAGTATATTATCAAGTTGGTTTCGAGTATGAAAGTATATATACAAGTTGGTGTCTAGTATAAAAGTATATATACAAGTTGGTGTCAAGTATAAAAGTATATATACAAGTTGGTGTCAAGTATAAAAGTATATATACAAGTTGGTGTCAAGTGTAAAAGTATACATTTAAGTTGGTGTCAAGTATAAAAGTATATATACAAGTTGGTGTCGAGTATAAAAGTATATATACAAGTTGGTGTCAAGCATAAAAATATATATACAAGTTGGTGTCAAGTATAAAGGTGTATATACAAGTTGGTGTCGATTATAAAAGTATACATAGAAGTTAGTGTCGAATGTAGAAGTATATATACAAGTTGGTGTCAAGTATAAAAGTATATATAGAAGTTGGTGTCAAGCATAAAAGTATATATACAAGTTGGTGTCAAGTATAAAAGTATACATTTAAGTTGGTGTCAAGTATAAAAGTATATATACAAGTTGGTGTCAAGTATAAAAGTACATATATACAAGTGGGTGTCAAGTATAAAAGTATATATATAAGTTGGTGTCAAGTATAAAAGTATATATATAAGTTGGTGTCGAGTATAAAAGTATATATAGAAGTTGGTGTCAAGTATAAAAGTGTATATATAAGTCGGTGTCGAGTATACAATTATACATACAAGTTGGTGTCGAGTATCAAAGTATATATACAAGTTGGTGTCAAGTATAAAAGTATATATACAAGTTGGTGTGGAGTATAAAAGTATAAATACAAGTTGGTGTCGAGTATAATAGTATACATACAAGTTGGTGTCAAGTATAAAAGTATATATACAAGTTGGTGTCGAGTATAAAAGTATATATACAAGTTGGTGTCGAGTATAAAAGTATATATACAAGTTGGTGTCAAGCATAAAAATATATATACAAGTTGGTGTCAAGTATAAAGGTGTATATACAAGTTGGTGTCGATTATAAAAGTATACATAGAAGTTAGTGTCGAATGTAGAAGTATATATACAAGTTGGTGTCAAGTATAAAAGTATATATAGAAGTTGGTGTCAAGCATAAAAGTATATATACAAGTTGGTGTCAAGTATAAAAGTATACATTTAAGTTGGTGTCAAGTATAAAAGTATATATACAAGTTGGTGTCAAGTATAAAAGTACATATATACAAGTGGGTGTCAAGTATAAAAGTATATATATAAGTTGGTGTCAAGTATAAAAGTATATATATAAGTTGGTGTCGAGTATAAAAGTATATATAGAAGTTGGTGTCAAGTATAAAAGTGTATATATAAGTCGGTGTCGAGTATACAATTATACATACAAGTTGGTGTCGAGTATCAAAGTATATATACAAGTTGGTGTCAAGTATAAAAGTATATATACAAGTTGGTGTGGAGTATAAAAGTATAAATACAAGTTGGTGTCGAGTATAATAGTATACATACAAGTTGGTGTCAAGTATAAAAGTATATATACAAGTTGGTGTCGAGTATAAAAGTATATATAGAAGTTGGTGTCGAGTATAAAAGTATATATAAGTTGGTGTCAAGTATAAAAGTATATATACAAGTTGGTGTGGAGTATAAAAGTATATATACAAGCTGGTGTCGAGTATAATAGTATACATACAAGTTGGTGTCGAGTATAAAAGTATATATACAAGTTGGTGTCGTGTATAAAAGCATATATACAAGTTGGTGTCGAGTATAAATGTGTATATTTAAGTTGGTGTCAAGTATAAAAGTATATATACAAGTTGGTGTCAAGTATAAAAGTATACATTTAAGTTGGTGTCAAGTATAAAAGTATATATACAAGTTGGTGTCAAGTATAAAAGTACAAATATACAAGTTGGTGTCCAGTATAAAAGTATATATATAAGTTGGTGTCGAGTATAAAAGTATATATACAAGTTGGTGTCAAGTATAAAAGTATATATATAAGTTGGTGTCGAGTATAAAAGTATATATAGAAGTTGGTGTCGAGTATAAAAGTGTATATATAAGTTGGTGTCGAGTATAAAAGTATATATACAAGTTGGTGTCGAGTATAAAAGTATATATACAAGTTGGTGTCAAGCATAAAAGTATATATACAAGTTGGTGTGGAGTATAAAAGTATATATACAAGTTGGTGTCAAGTATAAAAGTATACATACAAGTTGGTGTCAAGTATAAAAGTATATATACAAGTTGGTGTAGAGTATAAAAGTATACATACAAGTTGGTGTCGTGTATAAAAGTATATATAGAAGCTGGTGTCGAGTATAATAGTATACATACAAGTTGGTGTCGAGTATAAAAGTATATATACAAGTTGGTGTCGAGTATAATAGTATACATACAAGTTGGTGTCAAGTATAAAAGTATATATACAAGTTGGTGTCAAGTATAAAAGTATACATACAAGTTGGTGTCAAGTATAAAAGTATATATTCAAGTTGGTGCAGAGTATAAAAGTATATATACAAGTTGGTGTCGAGTATAAAAGCATATATACAAGTTGGTGTCGAGTATAAATGTGTATATGTAAGTTGGTGTCAAGTATAAAAGTATATATACATGTTGGTGTCGAGTATAAAAGTACATATATACAAGTTGGTGTCGAGTATAAAAGTATATATACAAGTTGGTGTCGAGTATAATAGTATACATACAAGTTGGTGTCAAGTATAAAAGTATATATACAAGTTGGTGTCAAGTGTAAAAGTATACATTTAAGTTGGTGTCAAGTATAAAAGTATATATACAAGTTGGTGTCGAGTATAAAAGTATATATACAAGTTGGTGTCAAACATAAAAATATATATACAAGTTGGTGTCAAGTATAAAGGTGTATATACAAGTTGGTGTCGATTATAAAAGTATACATAGAAGTTAGTGTCGAATGTAGAAGTATATATACAAGTTGGTGTCAAGTATAAAAGTATATATAGAAGTTGGTGTCAAGCATAAAAGTATATATACAAGTTGGTGTCAAGTATAAAAGTATACATTTAAGTTGGTGTCAAGTATAAAAGTATATATACAAGTTGGTGTCAAGTATAAAAGTACATATATACAAGTGGGTGTCAAGTATAAAAGTATATATAGAAGTTGGTGTCAAGTATAAAAGTATATATATAAGTTGGTGTCGAGTATAAAAGTATATATAGAAGTTGGTGTCAAGCATAAAAGTGTATATATAAGTTGGTGTCGAGTATACAATTATACATACAAGTTGGTGTCGAGTATAAAAGTATATATACAAG